ATATCAGTAATCCCTCTGTGACGCCCACTGCCACTGCTCAAGGGTCCGTTCCAGATCGTCAATAACAGCTCTGCCTGATGCACTCGTCATGCAGTCCCTTTCCTCAAAAAGTCGGTGTCCCAACTGCATAATCTTGCCCATCCACTACACAAAACAAAAAACATGAAACGACGTATTATACATATATATATTAAAATAAGAGAACAACAAATAAAAGATGAGACGTACCGCATAAGAGGCAGTGGCAGGTGGCACATCGTCATCATCTGCGTCGTCGATGTCTTTGATCAACCTCGGGTGCGAGTGCCGGATGTACCATTCCATGTAGTGCTGGTCACACATGGCAGTCACCCCACTTGGCGGCCGCTGCAGCTCCGCCGTCCATAGGCGGGCAACCATCGGAAACTGCTCCCACATGGATATCATGTTTGACGGCCATTGGACGACGTACTCCTTCGACGACGCAGATCGTACCGCCTTACTGGGCCATGCCGGTGGAGGTGGGACAACTTGGACAAATCCAAGCTGGCGAAGACAGCGCTGCGGCATGTACGCCTCTACGATCTCGCGATACTGAATCAGTCCAGTGTAGAGGGTCCTGGGTACCCTATTACTAGGGTTCTGGCCGAAAGGCATCCAGTTCACTTGCACATTATTTAAAATCAGTAACAGTCATAAAATAAAGCATCAGATTGTAAAAGTAGAAATAATTTAATCACTGTACCTCTAAGGGGGACATCCTGTCAAGCGATAACCGTATGGAGCGCAGGCGGTCAACGGACTTCTTCTCGACACGCGGACTCCACGCACAGGCACGTGGCTGGCCATCACCAATGGGAACCGGGTCGCGGTGTGGTCGAAACGCAGGAAAATACTCGTATATCCAAGTCTGTAACAACGTCAGACATCCAGTGATACCTGCTGCATCAGCCCGGCTCGAGAATCCTAACTGGCGATACAGATACGCCAGCGTAGCCGACCCCCAAGAAAACTGGCCTACTCTGTCGGGCTCACACGCGTCAACTATGTCGCGTGGCCTGAGCTTGTTCCCGCTCTTATCCGGAAACAAGGTACACCCGAGAAGAAGAAAAACATATGCAGCCAGCTGTGTGTCCTGCGTCCTACGTGCCGTAGGGTGCAAACATCGCTGCAAGACGGCTGCGATCTTAACGCCGCCGTGATCCCACACACCAAGTGCCGATGTGTACAGCGCAGCCCTATCCACCGCCAACAGCTCCGCTAGTAAATCTGCCTGATCCGCATCAGTGACGACAGATGCTCGGTTTCCCTCCACGGGAATCCCAAGGATGGCCTCGACGTCATGCAACATGATCGTCATCTCACCGAACGGAAGGTGGAACGAGTTCGTATCCGGCTGCCATCGCTCAACGAAAGCCGTGATCAGCGTCCAGTCAATCCTATCGTGCATGGTGGCAGGAAGGTGACTCACTCTAGTGGCCCTCAATCGCCCGACCATCTCGCTCTCCTCCGGCCAAGCATCAGCCCAGCTACACAAAAACCTACAAGTCTTTTCCCGGGTTTGGCATTTTAAAATGCCTGTATCCAAAGCCCTCTCCTGGTCCTCCCAAATACGGGTAGCGATGTGTCCTAAAAAGCTAGGAATCACACTCCCGTCTATAGGTCCCCCGGCCACCTCACCCCTCACCATCCAAGAATCATTAACGGCCCTCGACCGTTTTCTGCTACCCGCAGACACAGTGGACGCAGATGATGTGCCAGATCTACTAACAAACCTACCATCTCGACCCTTACGCACATCTACCCTATGCGTCTCATACGTATCATCAAGTCTCTGACTGAATGGACCGTAATCATCATATGGTCCACTCTGATCGTCGACATCCTCATCTGCATCATCCTCGTCCTCGAACTCCTCCTCCTCGACCTCCTCCTCCTCCTCCTCATCATCATCATCATCATCTTGATCGTCCGCAGAACAGTGCACCCGTTCTCTGCGGGCCGAGGCCGAAATACCACGGGATCTAACGTGTCTGGGCCCCGAGCTCTCCATTGAGTAGATCGTACTCCTCACGACGTCAATACTCTTCCCCGCACCAGGTCTAAATTGCGATGCCTAACTCCAAGTAAATAACGAAACATAATAACGAAAACAAATTAAAAAAAGTCGAAAATAAACACAAAAGCAAATAAACAAGTCACGGAAATAAAATTATAAACATAAAAAATATAAAATTAAAACAAATAAAAAAACAAAATTTAAAAAAAAAAAGATAAAAAAAAAAGGGAACATACAATTTAAAAAAAAGAAAAACAAATTTTTTAAAAAAAAAAAAAAAAAAATCGAAAATAAAATTTAAAATTAAAAAAAAAAACAAAAAAAAAATTTAAAAAAAAAAAAAAAGAACGAAGCGCCTAGGCAAGGCGCCTGTACGGTGGTGTCGGCGCCTAGCCCAGACGCCACTACCACGGCCGTGGCGCGTAGCCTCTGCGCCGCCGCCGTGGTAGTGGCGTCTGGGCTAGGCGCCGCCACCACCGTACGGGCGCCTTGCCTAGGCGCTTCCGCCGTGGTGGTGGCGTCTCGCCTTGGCGCCCCACCGTCGCCGGAGGTTTTTTTTTTAAAAAAAAATTACAAAAATTAAAAAATTTACCTTCTGGCCGGCAAACCGCCTTCCGCCCACCGCCGGTGCCGCCACTTCCTTGCCGGGCCGCCTCGACATAGCTTTGGAAATAATTTAGAGAGAGAAAGTGGAAGTAGAGAGTAGAGAGAGAAATTGTGTGTTTTTTAGTATGAGGGCAAAAGTGTCATTTCACTCTTATTTTGTGGGCTTTATGTAGGAATTTGCGGGCGATGTTTAACAGTTCACAAAAAGAAATACTCCCCTCTGTCCAGAATACTTAACACAATCAACAATGCAGATATGAAAATGCACTGATCTGACTTTATAGTATGAAACTTTATATTAATACTTATTTAACAACATATTTTATGATATATGAATAGTGAAAAAATGTCCAATGTCTCTTGTATTTTGGGGCGAAGGGACTACATAGTAATTGAAATAACAATTGTAGTTATTCACTTACTACGTATTTGTAATGGGCACTTCTCTGTTGGTTACAAAGAATTCGGTCAAATTCATTTGACTTTACTATTTGTATCGGACATAAGCTGCCGGATACAAATAATTAGTTATTTGTAACGAATAATTAGTTATTTGTAATGGTCACTTCTTTGCCCGTTACAAATACTTCTTTTCCTACGCAATTTACCCGCTTTTTTGTAATGGACATTGATTTTGCCCGTTGCAAATAATGTTATTGTAACGGTCAATCACTTGTCCATTACAAATGAGCTTTTTTCCACTAGTGTAACTTCATTTTAATAAAATGGCTCATGCTCTATTTTTAATAATAAAATAACATTCTACTAACTTCCCTTTACAATTCAATAAAATTACTCTACTAATTAATACATGTCTTAAAACTCCGTATCCATTACAATGTGTCAATTAAATGGGAATAGAGAGAGTACAAAATAAACCCATCGATCAAAGCTAGATGTTTAATAATTATTATACATTTGTTGTAAAATTGTCCTAAAATGATTAAAAGTTACTCAAATTATATAAATAAAAGTTACCTTTGTTTAAATGAATGTAAAAAATGAGTCTTAGTGAGTAAAAGCAAATACATCACTCTTATAAAACTTATTTCATTGTTCATATACTTTAAAATCATACTAAGTTAAAAATTACCTGAAAACTGTTTGATGTACACCGATATTATTTGTGAATCGGGGATACACAACATTTGTTGTGTATTTAATCAAAGTTAATTTTTTAAAAAATTAATCAAATTATGGTAGTAAACTACTCCTGTAATCATTCTTCGCTAATCACTACTCCCTTCCTTTTCCTACCTTTTAAAAAGTATGAGATAACTTTATGAATAGTGTTTAGACAATTATAACCCCTAAAATGTTTATTTTACTTAATTGCCCCCATTAATGGTAATTAGCTCTTATTTAAAGCTCTTAAGAATTGTGTGTGGATATTCATACCCCTAAAAATATTTGTTTACATATTTTTATTCATTAATCCTACTAACAAATAATGTTATTACGTAAGACCAAACTGAAATAGCTTCCCGAGTATTGCTAGCTATAGTGCGTACATCGCGTGCGTTAGTCACACTAGTTTTTTTTAAAAGCTAGAGTTGAGTTTGTACGGAGTTTTTGGAGGTTTAATGTAATAAGATGTTAATGGGGTAGATAAGGTTATTATTTTATTGAAAAGTAAAGTGGTATAAGAAAGAGTGGAGACCATTGGAGAAGTGCGAAATGATAAAATAAGAGGGAGTATTAAAATATAAATATATAAAAAAAAAAGTATAGCTTTATTCAAAAAAACGAACGAAGATAGCAAGTGTAACTTTTAAAAAAGACGGAGGGAGCACTATAGAATTTTCAATCATAAAATACAAAAACTTTTGTACATTTATATCAGGGTAACTTATATATATGAAGTAAATTTTATTCATTACATGGTAACTTTTGATCATTTTAAGGCAATCTTATATATTTTTTTATTTTTTCTTAATTTTTTGATAAGTAACCTTATATCAAATGTACATATTTTATTGTATTTCTGATTTTTTTTTAAATGTTTGTCTATAAAGTAAGTTTACTATTCTCTCCATGTTTTAATAAGTGTTACACTTAATAAATCCAGTCGTGTTTTAATAAGTGTTACACTTATTTGCATTTAAATATGATATATCTCTCCACCTATGATCACCACGTAAACCTACTACTATATTTTTTTATTATATATTTTCTCTCACATTTATTACTTGTTAACAAATTATTAATCCTATTATCTTTCTTTTATAATTTATTTAATAATTTAACTACTCTACTTACCTCTTATTGTATTTAAATCAATTAAATTATGTACTGATCAGAGTGTAACTTATTAAAATAAAAAGGGAGTAGTTTAGGAGGTTGGAATCATTTATTTATTCATCAAATATTGACATCCCCACAAAACCACAATACACTTTCGGTTGCGGCAAACCTCTTCCAAGAGTCCACGACCCCACTCTCTCTTTCTCTCTTCTAAACACAGATTGAAGGCTTTTCAATGGAGGATGACATTGATAAAATACTATGGACTTCCGAAGATATTTCAAACAGAGTCTCCGAACTCGCTGCTCAACTCACCCACGACATCTCTGCCACCGAATTGCCGGTCTTCGTCGGCGTTGCTACCGGTTGTTTCGTCTTTTTAGCCGATTTAGTCCGACGAGTATCGTTACCGGTTTCCATCGATTTAGTTCGTGTTAGCTCTTATGGCGCCGGTACTCTCTCTAATGGCTCCCCTTCTATCTCTTCTGACTTGAAGCTCGATGTCACCGACAAACACGTTGTTTTGGTACTTTCTATTTTTTTTTTAATTTATTTTACTTCCTTTGTTTGTTTTATCGTTGCAATGTTTAATGTTTGTCATTTCGTAATTTCAATCAACAATGACTTTAGTTGGTAACAAATTATAAATTGGGAAAGAATAATTTCAATCTCTCATTATTAATATGAGTGAGAAAGTTTTGGTATTGTAAAATTATAAATTGGGGCGAATAGTGTAGAAGTCAAACTGTAACAATTGTAACAATATCAAGACTTCCAACACGTTTGTTCATACATAACTTTAATATTACCGACTACTTTTAAGCATCTAATAATGGTATCACGTATTGTTATGATTAATGTTTGAGTAAGACATTTTACAATGTTATTACACTTTTGGCTCTTTTGCAACTCTTATCTTTATTCTTTGAATGGAGCTGTCAAGGGATTTTCCAACACGTCTATCATAATCTGAAACAAACACAAGTATAACACGACACAACGCACATGTCTCCTATAATATACTACGCATATGGATAATAATTCCCGTGTAGGTGAAGAATTTAAGTGCCATCCACTCACTAATCACTATGGATAATAAAAGAATATACAAGTATATGTTTAATATGAATTTGGGTCTATTTTTATGCAGTTTTTTTTTTTTTTTTTTTTTTTATTATTATTTTTTTTTTTTTTTAGAATGACTCCTAAACAATTAGTTGATTCCATTTTTAGGATAATATGCATATATGTGTGTGTAAAGTGAGAGAAAAATGTATGCTACTATAATCCATTAAATAGTTGTAAATACTGTTTTTATGCTTCTCGATGGAAGTTTTGTCATTAAATTAGTCCATATGTATTGTAACTCTGTTGATTGGACTAAATTAGTGATAATATTTTTGCAACACCATTTTTTGTAAATATGATAGTTTGGTCAGAATAATATAAATCTGGTTTAGTTTGGTCTGATTTCATCTCCACTTTTGACTCTATTTGTTATCGAGTGGAGTCTTGTTAGATTTGTCTTAATGTGTTTTTTTTCAAATATCTAAGTTAGAACTTTAATTAATATGACGATTCGTATATTTGGCAGTAAGCATACGCCAATAAGGTCTAGTTAAGTCTCGTTTGATCTGATTTGGTTGATTCGTTCCTACAAAATAAGAAATAAAGTTCCAGAGTATATGGCCTAAGCTACATTACTCGGACTCGGGTACCCATGTCCGACACGGGTATGTGTCCAAGTGTCCGACTCGGCTATTTTGTGAAAAAATTCTATGATTTTGAACTAAAATGAAGTGTCCAAGTGTCATACCCACGTCCGAGTGTCGAGGGTCCGACACGGGTACTCGAGGTAAAATAAAGAGTCCGAGTAACGTAGGGCCTAAGTCAACTAATGAGCGTATTATTAGGATACCTTATACAACATAGTTTGACTTACCTCATTCTTTGAATGGAATAATTCTAGCAAAATCCTGTTTATGTTGTTGAATGTTGTAGTTTTGTATGGTGAGACTTCTTTTTGAAGATTTTTTTTTTTTGGGAATAAAACTTAATGATCTCTAGCATTTAGTTTTCAAATTTTCACTTGAAATTGATGGGTTTTTGCTTTCGTCTCCCACTCTCCCCCCAAGCATTATAATTCCGATTGATAGAGGGTGATTGATTCTGTATTTTTGATCTTTAACATCGCCCTAGGATTTTATAAACTGTAGAGACATCTCAACAGATATATTTCTAAAGGCAAAGATGAAACAAAGATGCATCATAGTGTGAAAGTAATTGACTACCAAGGATTTTTAACCAAATTCATCAGTGTACATAATTTCTTTGCTTATGTGTTCCGCATTCTTCCATTGGATTCAGGTTGAAGACATTGTGGATACAGGAAACACCTTATGTCGGCTCATTGAACATTTGAAATCGAAGGGAGCATCTTCTGTGTCAGTATGTACCTTCCTTGATAAGCCATCAAGGCGGAAGGTTAACGTAGAGCTGGTGGGGAATGGAAAGTTCTATCGAGGCTTTGAGGTAATATTGCTTTGGTGTTTGGTTTTCCTAGGTATCTCTGAAAGATTGCTTGTGGTAAACAAAATAATTGTTATTCAATTTTTTATGCATATGGTGTAAATTCCTGAAATTGAATCAAATTTATCAAAGTTGAAGGCTACAACCAACCAAATTGTCTTCCTTTTAACATCTTAATTTAGAGTGCATTGATATGGTCCAGATGATGACTGTTACCTAAACAGAAATGATGACCTAACCAGATCAGGAAGGTACTATAAACCTTTTGAAAAGTGATAAACGATCTGGTTCATCTCAGGTCTCTCCAAGGTTAACGGAGTTCCACCAAAGCTATTGCTCTATTCTTGTAGCTAATTTTTGTGGTTTTAGAATCAATGCATGCAGCTGGCAATTGCTGCAAGTGCAGTGCGTTTGATGCATTGTCCAATTATCAGTATTATGAAAACAAATCGTCAAATAAAGAAAAGCTTATCATTATTTTCTTTTTGTCTAAATCTTTATTTGATTCTTAAACCTTAGTTGATTCAGTATCTATGTGAATATTCTGGTCACTTAAATACTTAATCAGAGGAAGTAATTCAAGTCATTGTTTGATTAGATTTCACTTAACTCAGTGGTATTAGTTTGACTAGGCAAGATAATACTGATTAAAGTCATCACTTTGTTTGACTAGGACAGTAAAGCTCATTCCGTTTATTCATTTGAAACTTATAATACTGATTAAAGTCATCACTTTGTTTTTTCCTAAGTTGTTCATGGTGCATTGATATTGAAGTTTTATTGTCTCTATTGTGCTGTGTAAATTTTGAACTCAATTGAATTTGATCACTAATATTAGGACCACAATATTAAATTGCTTGGTTGTATGGGGCTGCTGCCTGCTAGTCTTGTGGTTGTTTCACCAGAATGCTCAATATTGAAAGGCTGTGGCCTATTGTTTATGAGAAGATGCTCCTATAGTTTATAACCATCCTGGCTCTTATTAATATAACCGGTGAATTAACTCTTAAAAACTAAAACGATGAAAGTTATGTTCTTTACTTCTTTAAAGATGCTTGAGGCTGTTAGTGTCGTAATGTTCCTACTATGAATTAGAAGAATTATTTTTGATTCACCAAAGATTAAATGATCAACTTTCGGCATTCAAGATAATTCACCATATGATTTTAGTTAAAATTGTGACTGCTTAAATTTAGGATATGATGTCTAACAGTCTTAGTTTTGGCAGTGTCCAGATTATTTTGTGGTAGGCTATGGAATGGACTTTGCTGAGCTTTATAGAAACCTGCCATATGTGGGCGTTCTGAAGCCCAGATGTTACCAAGGAGTCAAAGAGGAACTTCCAAAGAACTGAGGCTAGAAAGTTGTATGTCTACATTGTTAACAAAGAGATAGTATATACATACGTCTGCAATTCCTTGCTGGATGTTTTGAACATCAGCATTGTGTCTATTCTCTTGCTGTAAGTTGTAAATGCCTTCCTAGTTGAATAAAAGTGCAATTCTTCTTACCATTCTTGTGCAAATGATGATCATTGACATCTGTTTGAGTTAAACGTACATAGAATTCATACTTGACTGTGAATTAGCACATTCTTAATTGTGTTGGAAGATCATACACCCTACGTCACAAAATAACAGTCTGGGACCGTTTTAGGAAATATAGCTATTTAACTTCAACCATAACTTTCCTTCGTTATTCAAATTTTAAAATCCACCATACATATATACAGCACTTCTCTTTGGAAATTCATGTATCATCAAGGATAATATGAGAAAGCCTTAACTATTTGCAATAGGTATCTAACCAAGGACTCGAAGATCGCTGAACTGCAAGATGTGGCATAGCAGTTAGATGCATATCAATTTCCAGGGTTCCAAAGTTGGTTTAGTTTAGGGGTAAAACTTATGTCCCATTGTATATCAAATCTTATCTAGGATTAGCTAGTTACCATAGCGGCGTAGCAAGCTCATTAGCAAGGGGCATATCAGTTTTCCACATGTATGCTGGAGATATGATAGACATAACAAATTCATATAAGCATTCTCATATATTACTATAATAATTTCGGGCTAAATGATTAAATTTTGAAAAATTTGTTAGAAAGGTCCTTTTAAATAGGTTTTTTTGTTGTAAAGGTACTTTTATAAAAAAAAGGTGGCATAAAAGGTCCTATTTTGTGAAAAAAAAACAATTATCAAACTCCAATTCTAGTGCCTCACCTTAAAATTGAAGGCAGTTGAAGACAAATCGAACCTGGTCAGAGGGTAAAGGGGGGAAAAAGGATTTTAAGTGGTGCATGTGACTTTTTTTGGTCTGAAAAAAAGAAGTCAATACCGGTCAAAGGACCTTCGCCGCAACCAAAGTGCAATAAAAGGACCTTTTGTGTCATCTTTTTTATAAAAGAAACTTTGCAACAAAAATGGCTACTTAAAAGGACCTTTCTGACAAATTTTCCTTAAAATTTAGCTAGCTAAAAAGAGACAAAACTACTCTTACAATTTGTGTTAGCTCTTCATGTTGTGAAGATTTTACTGACGAAACGACTCTTACCAGTTTGTGTTGGCTCTTCATGTTGTGAAGACTTTACTAGTCTGGGTTCCTGTATAGCGTATCTTTTGTAGTTGTACAAGGATGTGATTTATATTCTGCTCATTTGTAGCTCTCCAAATGAGTAAATGGGGTAATAATGGATTTTGTACTTATCGTATGAATTGATGACAAAAAAATTATTACTTTTTTTCCCTTATTGATGAAATTGAATAATGTTATACATAAAATACCTGACCAACGTTTAACAGACTCTCATGCGGGACATTAAAGATCACGCTATGCTCTCTACAAATCTTCCTAAGAAACGCATAAATATAATCAACAGCAATCTTTTTATACAACCTTGAATCTTTTCTTGCTTTCACCACAGTGTTGCCCAATATATGCACCACCCCAGCATCTCTACAACTATTCAAGAACTCCAATTCATCAATTTCATTTTGGCTGCTAGTCTGCCCGGACGACCTTGGCCTAAATTGTAGTAGTCGCAAAGGAGAATTGACAGGCATAATGGAATCTCCTGATTCAATTGTGTGCTCGAATTCAGTCATTATTGTTGTGCCATTATCCAACAGGCAGTCTCTAGACTCAGCTGTTTGCTGACCATATATACTGCTGTACTCTTCAGAATCAGTACACCCCTCCATCATAGACTCAAGGCGAACAAACGTGAAGAGATTATGAAAGAGCTTCTTCTCAAAATCATCATCTTTCTTATGGAGATCCTTGTAACCATACCTCGCAACACAACGGAACATATGGAAGTTCTTAGGTCCAATCCGCTTCACAAGAAATCTCTCATCTTCTGTGACTGTATACACTGGAAGGTATTTTACACATACAAAAACAACTACTGAATGGATGGCCGGCAAGTTGGTGATGAAGTGAGAAAAAATACTGGGGACACCACTGGCTAGCTCGGTGTACACAAGTCCAATTCCTGGTACCCTTACCAACCCTAAGCTAGGGCCAAGGCCAAGAATCCAAGCCATCGAGACCTTACTATGCATTTCAAACTCATAGCGCTTCACAGTTCCATAGTGCCAAACCACCATGACAATGAGAAAGGCAGCTGCAATGACAAGGGGGACCCATCCACCTTGATCAATTTTGAAGAGAACAGCTGAGAAGTAGGTTAATTCCACCAGTAATGACAAAGCAGTGAAGATCAAGACGAGTATCCAGTGCCACCGCCAAACCAGCAACATGATTAGAATCATGAGGAATGTGGTGGCTAACATGACTATCACAACTGCTGTACCTGTCAACACATGAAGATGCACCAAGTTTAAAGTTACTTTGATGAGAGACTGGAAGACTGAAAAGCACTATTCTGTTCAGGTGCAGCAATATTGTCAAAAACAGAACTTTTACAGAAAACAGAATGACATATAGCTATCAATGTATCCAGTCTTCTGGAAATTCCCGATCACATTTTACAAAATTTTGATTCTCAACAATTAAAGAAGATGCTGAGATGCTGATACCAAAATGCATAGATTTTATATGGTGACACAGATTAATTTAACACCCCTTACATTATATAAAAGTTGGAAAGATACAGAAATTTCAGCTGGCTATCAGCCAGAATTATTCTAGCTCAATCATGGTCAAAGCACTGTTAGACATTAGAGAAAATGTCTAGCACACCTCCACAGGGTAGGCAATAATCTTGAAGATATTGAAACTTACATTACCACAAAGCCTGACATCAGAATTCAAGAGAATTAAATTGTTGATTCTTATTGACAGTAAAGATGCCAGTAATTTATCTAAAAGCTTTTGAAAAGATACTCAGTATATTTTCTAGTAGTCCATTAACCACTCAAGGATTAGCTAAAGGAGTTTTCCTAATATTATTTAGCATATTATTTGTTACAGTTTGTGATAAGAAATGACTTATGTTTATTTGTCATCCCTAATACGCAGAACGATATTTGCTAGCTTATTATGTTAAATTAGTCCAAAGTGTTCCACCAAACCAGTATGTGTGTTCCATTATCAGAGTATTAGATAACACTGGTCATCTCATTTACAGTTAAGTGGAATTTTCCTGAATCGTCAATAAGTTAGATTTAGAACCGAGGCAATGCAAAAATAATTCCCTACAAGGAAAAGCCAATGGAAAAGAGAAGCCACAAGCACACAATAACTTCATAACAAATGCAAAAAAGGGACAAAAGACAAAAGAATCAAACTCACCATAAGCATTTCCAATCTGATTTTGGTTCCTAAATCCAGCAGTTACAGCTATGCAAAGGACCATAAGAATCCAGTTGATATCTGGAATGTATACTTGCCCGAGAAATTTCTTGGAAGTGTGTACTACTTTAACTCTTGGAAAACATCCTAAAGCAAGAGCCTGCTTTATAATTGAAAACGTTGCAGATATGGTTGCCTGACTTGCAACGATGGCGGCCAAAGTTGCTATGACGAAGACTGGCCAGTAGATGCTATCTGCAATTTAAAAAAATATCTCAAGCATGACAATCAAGAAAGACAACTGTATCTTTATTATATCACAGACCTCATTTGAATAACACAAATTAGTTTATTTCCAGTTGATTGCGATTTTACACTTGTCTAGTTGTCTTGATATTTACAATCATAGTCCGAACCCATGGAACGACACCCAATTACCCAATAATAACTAAAGAACCTGTAATGGTCTTTTATTCTCTCCCCTCATGTTCTTTTACAGAAGTCAATCCTTCTAAAAGTTACCAAACTATGTGTCCAGGCTTGGTAAATTGCTGTTTTTCAGATTTGGGACAATCATTGTCACACCCTGACACTCATATCTACTATTAGCATAAATTCATTAACATAGTATATAGATACATAGGCATCCTATGTATGGCAACTCAGGACTACTATTACAAAAGACAATCATTTTTTAAATGTTCTCTTCATATGTCAGCCAAACTACTTTATTAAAAACACCTTTCTTTTCTTTCTAAAGTGCACTATCAGCCCATTAATAATAATTGTGCTAATTGGATATGCAAAGTCCCTTGTGAATATCTAAAGGTCATGCACGTCCTTTAGAAAAATATTTGTTTTCCATTATCACTCAAATCTCTAAATGTCAATAATTAATTATAAAAAGAAAAAAGACAAGTTAATTATAATTGAAATTCTAACTTTATGCCACTCCCTTTATTTCTAATTTAAACTTAACCAAATTAATATAGTTGTAGTTACTATATGCAAGTATAGTTGTAGTTACTATATCCTGGTCCTTTGAGTTGTACGTATATAACCCCACAAACTGGCAACTTCACAAAATTGTGGAACCCGCCCCCTACATCAATCCCCTTCATCCTTACATTTAATTTTTTAGGTTATATAATCTGATATTATTATTTGCAAATGTATATGAACGGGAAGAAGAAAGGTCGAGCTGAGTAAACCTGGTATTGAGTGATAGAATGCATCTACCACATGGTCTTGATGATTTACTAGATAAGCAGCTTGTCCTGAATATGCTAGAAGAAGGCAGGGGAATACAATTACTGTGAATGCTATTTGTACAGCCAACACCGGAAAGTGAGCCAAGTCAGCAAACAGTGCTTCTGTCCCTGTCATTTTTACAATTGAGGATTGAACAGCAAATCTTGTATTAAATTTTGAATCTTTGCTATCAATTTAAAAAAGCATGAAGACATAGCAACAACTTTTTAATGAGATAATTTGCAAAGCAAGGGTTTTTTTTTTTTTTTTTTTTGGTAGTTTCTTACCAGTTATACTTAACATGATTCCTCCTAAAGAGGTCCATCCATCTTTTCCCCCTCCTTTGAGATAGCGATACAGATAGACTGGAGAAAAAGCTTTCAGTACACTGCTATCATATTTCCATATGTTGAATGCACCAATGCCTCCAATCATGAGAAACCAGAGTAGCACAATTGGTGCAAAAAGCCACCCAACTTTATCAGTACCATAATGTTGCAAGCTGAACAAACCCACCAGTATCACAACAGCAACAAGCACAACCACATCTGCAAACCAGAAAAAAAATGTAAAAATCTGGAAATAATTGCTGCTCAACATTTTTCCATAAAGATCACATTAAAAGAAATACTAAACAAGTCAAAGAGAGGAAGAGGGGACAACCGTTACTCAAATTGGGGTGGGCAACCTTAATCCCACCAGAAGCTGAAAGAACTACAAACAGAAAAAGATTTAGTGGATGAATATATTCGTAGAAGAGTGTAAAGATGCTATAAAATGTCTTTGACAACGTTGATAAATCTTAAAGGAATTGATTTTACGGTAATATGTAGAAACTAAGAAAACTATATGAATCCACATTTAGTAAAATAAGTTGGAAAGATTTAATAATTTTTTTATTCAATAAACTTAATAAACACAAGCCCAAGAAGAAAACATATAAACATTTATGACTTCCTGACAGATTTCTTTCTATTCTGCTGCGCATCCTGCTCCATAAACACCTTTATAATCATAGTTCCCAGAATAATATCTTTTTAGTTTTTAAACCATTAAGATATCCTTCTCCCCTCCCCCCTGTTTCTATTTTTCATTGTGAGTTCTAAAGGGGAAATAGCAAGGATAACATGGGACAAAGTTGATGCCAAATAGATGGTTGAAGTAAATCTTAGGCTTTTGACAGCTTCATGTAGTGTTCTTCAGGCAAAAGAGGGGAATTGATGAGTCATCATCATCAGTGACTTGCATCATCTAATAGCAATAACTACATACAAAATACAATGGCTGAGGTCACAATGTCACATCTATTTTGGTCAAGGACTAGTTTATTAAAAAGGGAAATCCAGTCTCAGGAAGTCACGAGAGGTGTTGAAAGTATGTGCCAGCAAGTCCAGCAAGTAAAAAAAGATCATATATGAGATGTCATTTGAACATTCAAGATTCAACCCAAGAAAACTTTAATTTCACAAATTCAACACCTCTGTCGTTGAAATTAGTCCACAATTTCAGTTATATGATTTCATAGCCTCTCAAGTCTCAAACCCTATAGTGCATTAGCTGTCAGGTCAACAACTGCATCTTTCAAAGAGAAAGAGCGTAGTGAGGTAGACTACATAATCAACCATTTATTCTCCATTACTCGCTTATATCTCAACATGCATTAGTATACGTTCTTGGCGGCATTGGATTTATATCCTTACACTTAACATGTAAATATAAAATATCCAGAATGCAATGGTGTGTTAGGAGTTCAGCATATACCTGATATTGCTGGAGTGAGGATTCCATCTCCAATTACCATGCAAGTACCAACAAGAACAAGGAGAAGTAGAGTATTTTTTCTGGATGAATATTTCTCTAGCCATTGCCTGGTTTTTGAGGCAAATGATTTTTCTTGGAGCTTAAAGCGACTATATGTAGTTAAATCTTCATCTGTTCTATGCCGGTTCGGAATTGTATTTACATCAGCATGTCTACATAGCAATGAATAAAGAGCAAATGTACCCCCTGCACCAGATAAATAAATATTCCTTATCAATATTAGATGAATAGAGCAGAAATTATAAATTATATCAAGTAATCAGTCCCTCGATACTATTACTGGCTTACTGCCACTAAGTACACCTTTGACATGCAGAGTAGTGGACCCCCAGTTCTCAAGAAAGCGCTTATAATATGCACCAGTAACATCAACAAAATCATAGCCTTATACCCAAACTTATAATATATGCAGCTTAGATGAAATAATCACAATAACATTCAATAGGGTAACACAAACACATATTATTGCACAGTTACACTTGTCCCTACTGGAGAAAAAGAACATATCAGGTATTTGCTGCAAATGTTTTAGGCATCTCAATTGGAGTTTAGAACCAACATTATCTCAATAGAAACATAAACGATTGATTCTATAATATAATTCCTATACGTCGTAAGACTCATAACTATCAATCTTAGCATGTTTTACATATTGAATAGATTTAAAAGTAAAGTATAGATTATGACTGAGAATTCCAATAGTAAATACCAGAGTAAGAGAAATATGCTGCAAGGACCTAGACATATTGGGCAATGGATTTGCAAGCTGCAATTTAGGTTAAGTACTTGAGATTTATGAATATAGTAAATAGCATTTAGTTGTCTGTGAGGGCAATCCACATTAGTAGTACCACACTACCACATATCCAATAAGTAGTGTCATGAAACTAAAGTGATAGTATAAAATGTCGAGAAAAGAGACGGATTGTGAAAATATAACTAAGAACATTTGGCATCTTCCTTTGAGTATTAAATTCAGCAACCCCATATTAATAACATTACAAGAACTAGATATGTCTTGTCACTGTGCAAAGCGTGTCTACATTTGTAGCATTACAATATGAGAAGACAATCAAAGTAGCTTTAAACAAAAGTATGAGATGCGTATTGTGCATGAATGTCATCACTTCAGCAATTTATGACTTAAATCATAATAAAATGAAAGCCACAGAGAGGTTTGATTAGTACCTTGACCATTATCATTTGCTCTGCAGACAATGAAAACATACTTCAACAGTGGGACAAGGGTGAGGGAGTATATTATCAACGAAAGTGCACCGATCACGTCATCATGATGTTTCACTCCATGCGGAAATGTATTGTAGAAAACATACAACGGGGATGTGCCCAAGTCTCCATACACTACCCCAAGACTTTGGAATGCCAACCGTAGAAGCACTAGCGTTGAAAATTTCTGCAACAACACTTCATATTTCATAAGGTCTTGCAGTAAGAAGATACCACACAGTTATTTACTTGGTCTAGGTAAACATCTGCCATCCAAGTATACATGAAATTGCTATGTAAAACTTCATATAAATCATGAAAACAAGCATACAAGACCTTTAGTGAGGTAACAATCTCATTTAAAAGTACTGCAACATATGCTCTATCATACCTTTTCTCGGTATGCATTCTTAAGCTTTCCTGCCTCTTCATCCATGGGCTGATCGAGGGTCTGATCCAAATCCCACATACTCCCTTTATTCTCGGTATCCTCATTAACCGAAGCCATTGATTAGTACTAGTACCTAACAATCTTAATACCCCTCTTGAATTGTGTATAAGATGTTGTTGCTGCCCCAACTTCCTCAGCAAGTACTAGTACCTAACAATCTCAATACCCCTCTTGAATGGTGTATAAGCTGCTGTAGTAGCCCCAACTTCCTCAGCACAATCGCGAAAGACCGAAAGTCCAAAATAAATACCAAAGGACAATGGAAAACCAGCAACTATAGTGGCAATGGACAGCAACTTTCACAATATGCTTCTATATACAATTATACATGCTTCTCCAATTCTGCAACATTCAAACAACTTATAAACAAACCTACACACAAGCTCAGCCTCGAATTCGACTCGAAAACAAATACCAAGTATCAATGTTCAAGTTGGCAACAGCTATAATTGCATGAATTCAGTTCAAAGATGCTCAGAACACTTCAATCCAATCATTGAGAATTTGAGATCAACTACAGTAGCAAGTTCGAACATAATTCAAGTATATACAAACTATACTCCAAAATCCAAATTTAACTCACATCAATAATTGCACGAATCAGTTCCAAAATTTCTAAAGAGATTTGGAAACAAAGAAATTCCAAAAGCTCAAAAAATAGTGCAAAACAAAATAATTATACTTCCATATCCAAAACAGATAGAATTAATATAGATCACAATATTTTTTTCTTATTGCGTAATAACAATTCTCAACCACAAAACTTAAATAACCCAGATATTTTTTTCCTTTTTTCTACATATAAATAAAACCCAGAATTTTATTTTTATAAAATCAATTTTTCTTCACATACCCATCAATGAAGGCGGCTAAAGAATTCTCCTAGAAGTTGCAAAATTCCATTTTGAGCTCTTCAAATGATCTTGAATCACAAAAAAATTGAGCAAAATTTAGAGTTTCTAACCCAACAAAATAAACTATTTAAGCAACTTAAATAGTTAAGATTTGAGAAAGAAAGATAACAGGTCTAATTTGACAACCAACTTTGTACAGTTCTGCTATACAAGAGTGTTTTTTTTTTTTTTTTTTTTTTTTTCCAACTACAAGACAGAGTTAAGCTCTGAGATACTGCCAGCAGACAACTACTGATACCTTTTTTAAGAGAGAGAAATCGAAACGAACGGTTAATTTTTTTACTCCCTAAAATTTCTATTTTAGATTTCCCAACACTTTGATTGGTACATAGCACATAATGCCTTATTTAATTGACAACATAAAATGTGGGAAGTAAAAATTTATGGTTTTTAATAAATTAAGGAATTGTTTGGTCGATACAAAAAGGCAAAAATGAGGGACGTAGAAATTCATGGGAATTTCAACTTTCACAAAATAAGGGAAATAAATTACCTAGCCTCCCCTAGATCAATCAAAATTTATGGAATTTCTAAATTTCCACATTGTCAACTAAATAAATTTAAGAAATTCCTAGGAATTTCATTAGGAAAATAACTTTCCATGAAATGCAATTTCCTATGAGAATTTAATTCATATATCAACCAAACAAGGCCTAAGTTAATATGCAACTATGACCATTAACTTTTGCATAATATAAAAGTTGATATATAAAATTTTACTTAAAGATTAGTCCAAAGTCATTTTATATACCATTAATAGTTTTTTGGTATATTGGTATACAATATACTCCGCAATCAAGTAGTTATATGAACACTTAAACAGTATAAAAATCAAACTTGCGATTAATCTGAACTAGAGATTATATTACGATTATACTTTTATTACTGAGTATTAATATTACAATTGCTAATTAGTAAGAAAAAAAATAAATTATTTAAGTAATATTTATTGAAATACTCTGTAGTTTATTAGAGATCTTTCAAAAAAAAGGTCAATGAAAAATAAGTGAATATACAAAAGTCAAATTAAATTTAGTAAAAATAAACATACGAATCTTTAAAGTTTGAAAGTATTACTCACCTAATACTAAAAATTGAATTTCATATACACCGCTTTTAAAGTTAATATTTACAGTTTTATTTTCCACTTATAAAGTTATGTTAAAATGTAAAGATATTTTTTTGTGTATAAAGTCGTTTTAAGGATTTAATTTAATTGAGTTATCACTTAAAAAAAAGTCTCTTAAAGTATACATGCAGATTTACAAATAAATCAATATTTAATAGTACAACATGTAGAATTAAGGGGAAGTCATACATGTAGGTAAGAAATTAATTTTTAATCAAGGAATGATTGAGATCTAGGATACTCTAATTAATATTATGGCTGCTTATAATAATAAAGTATAAATATGGTGGACCCCAGAACTGATTAGAGTCTGTGTAGTAATCTATATTCTGTGCATCACACAATCACACATCAGTTATACAACTCTTTTTTTCTTTCTCTTTTTTTTTTTTTTTTTTTTTTTATGGTATAAAAAACAATTATTGTTTTTTATTACTTAGATTAGATTTAGGCCATGTGTGCCTAAATCGTGAATGAATCAAACTAATGCTCCGTACTTTCCTCTCCAAAGACATAACCCAATTAGCAAGAATACAAATTCATTATTGATTATAGGATTGGAGGAAGGTGAGTGGTCAATTTGTGTACATCAAGCAAGTCTTAGTGCTCACATGTAGAGCTCTAACGTTAATTCCTTCCTACTTCCTAGAGGTATTAAACCGGCATGAGAAACATTCGTTATAAGAGTCCACTTTATAAGTCCAATAAGGTTTCACCTCAATATTATACGGCGACTCTCCTGGCCTTATAAGGTGAACATAACTTTTACTTTTCTTCAAGATATCATGTTAAACAGGTTTAGGTCACATCCGTCACTAGATTCCTCTTTATTAGTCCAAGATGGTTCCTCCTAGCTTTAAAAATAATGTGTACATAACTTTCTCTTTTAATTTATTCTATGTGGGATACACATTCCAATACTCTATATTTCTTTTACGTTCTCTTAATGTGAGACAACACTTTTCATTCATATGTCGGTTTGTTCATGGACTCAATAGTTTTATGTATAAATCTTGGTCAAGTGAGAGATTTTGAGGTAGACTTTTTTTTGTTGGACATGGTATTCTATGTATATAGAGTTTGTGTTAAAGGTACTTCGTATGAATCTTATCAATTAGTGTATTGAGAGATAAACCTAGTTATTAAAAGGATGATCGAATGTGTATACGGTTTGAGTTAAAGTAAAGAGTTTTTGTTAGACAAGGTCAAAATGATACAGTAGCTTAATTTGATGAATATAGGCATTTATCTATACTAATATATTAAAAGGCGTTCCTAAGAAAGTATATGTGTCACGTATACCCTTTCAATTACGTCACGTCACCTACTCAATCTCTCATTATGCCACATCATTACTCAATCAACCCTAATCATTATGCCACGACATTATTACTCCATATAAAAGCATTAGGCTAAGTAGATTTGAACACCTAACCTCCTGTAAGGAAAGATGGTTATTTAACCATCTATGCCAATTAGCAACCATGTTATAAATATGAAAATAAATGTATATAAGTGCAAGTCACAAGGACTAATAAAAATGGAACAAAAAAAAAAGACACCAAAAAAGTTGAATATATATAATCACAAGTTTAATTAAAGTAGCAAACTGGTAAACGCCCGAGCCACACACTAGTTGTTAATTAAAAAATAGCATGTATAATTTAGTAGTGTTATACACGTGTACTCACTTTTTTCTCTTAGTCTCTCTCCTTCACATTTTGTTTACTTGCTCATTTATAGGTCCACTTATCAAATTAAACCATGACTTGGATTAATACAAAAGTGACCCTCTTTTGACCCTACCTATTTTCAACCCACATTGGCCCTAATTCAATATGCCCAATAACTACGTACAACCTACGTACTTGGAGGTGATGATCTTCTTAACCCTCCCTCTTACTTCCAAGTTTGTGGCCTACGAATATTGGACCAAAAAAATCATGAGGTTTGAGATATGGCTATGGTTTTTCTTAGGATGTGTTATATTCACCTGATTTTTACTTATTTGAACTTATTTGATCTTATATGAATTTATCTGATCTTATCTAAACTTATTAGACCTTATTAAAAACTTATTTTAGTTGTAAATTGAACTTAGGCAACCCTTATCATAACTTATTTTTCTTGAACTAAGCTTATTAGACCTGAAATAAGTGAAAATAAGGTGAACATACCAGACCCTTATTTATGAAATGTGGTTAATTTACACGAGTTTATTTTTAAATAAAATCATAGTAATTTAAAATTTTGCAATAAATATTCAAAAGTTTGAAATTTTATGTAATTTGAAAATCCAATATTAAAAATTTGGTAGGTGTATTAAATAGTGTCAAAAGTTATACAAAGTATTTGTTAACATTCATCGTTGTGCTTCCTTGAAGAAAAAAGGTCCCCTCCATGTGATCCTATCCTACTATCCTATTCAAACATTATAGCATATCATATTTTCAAATTATAATTAAATGAAAATATTTTAGTAACTCCATTTAAGGAAATCATTTTTGTGTATATCATGCAACGCTTTAATTTTGAAAAGCATTGCAATGGTCACGACTAATAAGCAAGTCATACAAAATGAAAATGTTGTTCTTTTGGTAAATAACCCTGAATCAAACAAATAGTCAAATAGGTGCTCAACTTCCGAAGGCTCATTTCAAAAAGAACGTATTCAAATACAAGCTAGTTCAACATGGTGTAAAATTCGTCCAAGGCTTACATTTGACAAATTATCCAATTATTAGCCCATAAAAGCTTGTAAGAGTTTGTATTTGCCTTTATCAAACTTGTATAATTTAAAACTTAATTAAATTACCCCAAACTTAATCGGGATAGATATAGGATCAAGTTCCAATGAGAACCAATTCTAAAATGAGAATTTCGAACCAAATTCATACGTTAAAAGTAAAACAAAATATTATTAAAATAAATTATTTTACTTCAAAAGTAAATACCTATCTTTCCAAAAAAAAAGAACCTAATTATCCAAATCCCTTGCACAACTTAATTTTACTTTTAATGAATAATAAAATATATTGATTATCATCAAGTAACAACTTTGATAACAAAATTTAATTTCAATCTCAATGCATGATTAAAGAATTGTTTTGCATAAATTTTCATTAATTTAATGTTAAAAGAAAATGAAAAATAAGTAAAAGTAAATGAAATTGCTTTAAAAGTGAATAAACGGTAAAAAAAGTTTGAAAAACTGCAGAATTACGAAAATGTCATTAATGAGCCAGGGAACACCTTATCCACTCGGTTATGATGATCTAAGGGTCCATATTGATTCCTTGTTCTCATTTTAATATTAGGTTCTCACATGATTTTTTTTTTTAAAAAAAAAAAAAAGTAACAATAGAAGAGTTTAATTGCTTGAATTTGAGTTTTCATATGAAACACGATTCAAACATGATAATACTCATTTAATTGATGTACCTTTATGGCTTCATGTGATGAGAAGAAAGATTGAAATTAGTGGGTTCAATTAAATATTTCAAGATTGAAATTAGTGGGTTCAATCAAACACTCTGTACATATAAATAAATGAATTTACGGTTTTTAATGCCACTAATCAAGGATTCGTTTGGCATTGTTTTTTGTTTTCAGTTTTTTGTTTTTTAAAAACTGAAAACTGATTTCAGTTTTTTATTGTTTGTTTTTTGAAACTATTTCTATTCCAGCAGTTTTGAGTTTGCAATTAACTCTTATATACTACCTACTTCTATTTTATATAGGTATTACTTCAATCAACTATTATTATTATAGAAGAACCACTGTTAACCTTGAGAAAAGAATCCATGAAAAAATAATTACAGAGTAAAATAAAAAGTTCCAAATTCAAAAACAATAACCCCTGCTTTTACACGTCGTGCAAAAGCCAGAATCACCATTTTCTATCCCCTCTCTTCAGTCCCTCTACTTAATAAAACTTAGTCACCATTAAAACTTAGTCACCATTAACAATGGTAATAGTAAGAAGATTAAATAATTGCCCGTATTCGAAAATTTACAATGGCGATAGTACCAACTATAAAAAATTTCCAGTGGTGATGAGATTAAAAATTCATACCTTCTCAAGAACCAAATCTCATCACCACTTAGGCGATTTTATTCAATGGCAATAGTACTGAACTTTTATGAACCCAAATACAATAATCCAAAATTTGTATAAAAATTATACAAAGAACAATTAAAAATTCAGAAAAAATTAAGAACAAAGATAAACAATTTTGATCAAAGAAATTCAATTCAACCAATTTCACCAACAAAACACATAGTAAGAACAATGGGGAGAAACGTATGGTAATTACAAAGGAAATTAAGATAAAAGAGAGAGAAGGCTCCGTAATTGATTGCTCCTTGAATCTAGAGAATAATTAGGGTTTGAGGAAGAAAGATGAAATATTGAAGGAGATATGAGCGTGGGTTTTGATAGTGTTTAATTTTTTTTTAAAACAGAACCTCCAAAACTGCTTTGAGATTTTTTAGGTTTACCGTTTTAGTTTCTCCAAAATAAGTGTAACGTTGTTTTCTAAGCTATTTTACCAAACATTGTTTTGTTTTATTTTGGGAGAAAAAAACAAAAAACGGCAATGATGCCAAACACACCCCAAGTTAATGGTTTTCATTTGCCTCAATTAAAAAAAAAAAAAAGACGCAATTCAATAGCTGACAACCTAGCATGGTCTCTATTTAAATGAATTATTATTATTATTTTTTTTTTTTTTTGTATTGTATATGTTTTGATTAGTGCATCACTTCGACTTATGCATGGTTTACTAACTAGCTTTGACTTTTGAGTATGTAACTATTATTGGATTAATCCCAAATTTTAAGTGCATTTTATAAATTATAACATCAATTCTTTTTTTTTGGGTGATACTCAACACCCGTGATCAAATATTTTTTTTTGGGGGGGGGTGTTAAATACCGCCAACAATTTTTATCAAAATCACCAACATTTAAGGTGAATGGACACCAATACCCTTACTATACCCCCACCCCATCTTCCTCTTCCTCTTTTATTTTTTTCTCTCTCATCACCCATAAGGGCCACAACCACCACATCCAAACCACCATCAACCACAAATAGCAGTTGTACATCAGAGGTGAAGAGAAGCGACGACCGAATGTTGGAGGTGGAAGGATAGCGGCGACGAGGATTGGAGGTGATGAACCGGCATCACGATGATTGGAATTGAAAAACAAGTTCGTCACTTTGCTCTGATCTTTTTTTTTTTTTAATAATCTCCGGCGTTCACCGTGGTCAATCGGCGTGTTAAACTGGTCACCTGAGACGGTAACCGGTTTTGGACGCTGGTCTACCGTGGTCAATCGGCGTGCAAAACCAGTCACCCGGGATGGTAATCGGTTATGGACGCCGGTTACCATGGTCAACCGACGCTGGAAAACGATTATCGTTCCGGGTGACCGGTTTTGCGCACCGGTTGTGCAAGTCGCCGGATTTAAAAGACAATCGCCACCCTCCCGCCGACGAGGGAAGGTGGTGGGTCGTATTTCCGATGACTGATGATTGTTGTTGGTTCTTTTGGGATTTCAACAACAAAAAAGAAATCTGGCACCTCTTGGTGCAGTGGTTGTGGGCAGTGATGGTGGGTGGTGGTGGTCTTGGTTGTAGTGGCGTGGGTGGTGGTCGTGGTGGTGTGAGTGGTGGTGGCAATGGTGGTTGCTTTTGTGGTGGTTGAGTTTGAGGCTTGATGCACTTAGGAGAGAGAAAGCAAAGTGGGGATGAATAAGGGTAATTTTGTCTCTTCATCACTTTTGTTGGTGGTTTGATAAAAAACGTTGGCGGTATTTAGCAATCCACAATATTTTTACTCCCTCCGTCCCTTATTTACATACCTATTTTTCTTGTTGGGGTTTCAAAATTACATGCCTATTTCTATTTAAAGAATGTACTTTTTGACTATATTCCCCTTTTTTATGAGTTGTCATTAACTTTTTTCTTTTTTTTGTATTTTTGATATCATTTTCCAATACTTTATCTCTCCGTCTCTTCAATGATTACCAATTACCTTTTCTTTCTCCCTATATCTCTCTAACCCCACATGCATATTTGTACTTTCCAATAATGACTTTTAAGTTCCTTAATTCTCGTGTAAGATGAGAAGTAGGCATGTAAAAGGGACGGTGGAAGTACATGATTGCTCTTACCGCTCTTAAACTTTAAAACTAGGTTAAATAAGGTCAAAGTTCTAGGAGTAAAAATGTAAAATGATGTATTGGTCTAAAAAAAAAAATATGAAGAATTGGTGAAGGGATGACAAAGAAAAAGCTCACTCTTAGCTCTCATCTATAGTATCATCGATTCATCGTGGTACACATAATCCTCAACCTGCAAACGAGGAAGAAGCAAACATGGGAGGAACAGGAAGAACCATTCTCACACTTTCTCTCTCCTCCAATCTATTATCTCGCTCCCTTTTCTCTTTAACATCTAAACATTGTTGCTCACTTCGCAAACTCACTTACCCTCACAGGGTTTTACTAGGGTTTAGGCCTCTTTGCTCCTCTTCTTCTTCTTCCATTACCACTGTTGAAGCTGCTTCAGAACTCTCTAACCCCACCAAACAATCGATCCTTCTTGAAAAGTTAAGGGTTAGACACCTCAAGGATGTCCCTAAAACCCCAGAAATCAAAACCCCATCTCCAAAATCTGCTTCTAATTTGGTTAATAATGGTGAATTTGAAGAGGGTTTTAACCAAAATTCAAAGAAAAAAGGGGGTGGTGCTAATAGTTTGGCTTCAAATTTTAGTGAGTTGGGGTTGAGTGAAGAGGTAATTGCTGCTTTGGAAGAAATGGGTATTTCTGTTCCTACTGAAATTCAATGTATTGGTATTCCTGCTGTTCTTGAAGGGAATAGTGTGGTTTTAGGGTCTCATACTGGGTCTGGCAAGACTTTGGCTTATATGTTGCCCATTGTTCAGGTGAAGATTTTAAGCTCAATTTTTAGTTTCTTTGATTGTTCTATTGGTAATTTGATGTGGGTATTACTCGAAATGATGTGTTTGATTATTGTACGGTTTACAACGGGTGTATTGCTTACTACAAAATTAGCCACACCCCTATTTATATAGAAATCACCTCCTCTGTGAGGTTTAGTTTATGTGAATTGGGAATATTGTATGAAGTATAATACACCTGTTGTATTACTCTAAGTTTTTGCTATTTGTTTAATGTGCAGTCATAGAGAATTCGGAATGTCATAGTTAGTAATTTTTATAGTCCTAATTCTCTTAGTTTAGTACAGTGGACGGTTATATTTGATGGTGTCATGGTGCTATTTGTTAGAATTGTGAAACTCATTAATTGGAGTGTATTGTTAGATATATAAATACTATATCTGTAACAAGAATAGCTTATGATTTTGGGGGGGGGGGGGGTGGGGGGGGGGTGGGTGGGAGCAGAGGGCAGAGAGGAGGTCTCATACTTTGTATTAGTTTCTTTACAATGCTTTCAGTAGGTAGATTTGTATTTGGGTTTGATGAGACAACAGCAAACACTAAATTGATAAACCCAATATTTGGGGTTTTGATGACACCTTTTCACAACTTTTTTAAAACAGAATTTTGTTACCTTTCTAAATGGCTTGGTACCAATACCAAGATTTGACTACTCGTTATCCTTGATTATAAACTTTTTTGACCCACAGTATATCTGTATCTTTTTCATGTTACCGAGAGTTTTTCTAATTCTGCATTATGCTGACCAGAAGTCATATTTGCTTCAATTTGTGAATTATGATGCAAGTTTAGCTGTTTAGTCCAATTTTTTTTTTTTCAGCTAAAGTGCTACATGCTTTATGCTATTATTGGCTAATGATACTAAAACTTATTAGCTATTGAGGCGAGATGAAGATATCTCAGGCATCCGGATTAAACCCAGGCGTCCACGAGCTGTTGTCCTTAGTCCTACAAGGGAGCTTTCTGAACAGGTACTTCATTCTCTAACATTCAGAATTTTTGATCACTAAACTAGATTTTGAATGATATATCTGTTCTTATGAGTATGGACTTTTATTCTAGACCTTGGGTTGGTTTTACAGGTATTCCGTGTGGCAAAGTCCATCAGTCATCATGCTCGTTTCAGGTCTATTATGGTAAGTGGTGGTGGTCGTTTACGACCCCAGGAAGACTCACTTAATGTCCCCATAGATATGGTAGTTGGCACCCCAGGGAGGATTTTACAACATATTGAGGATGGTAATATGGTCTATGGTGATATCAAATATGTGGTAAGTATATTTATATAAATGAATTATTGACTTCCTTGAGTTTAGACTCGCTTATAACAATGACTTTAACAAATATGTCAGGTTTTGGATGAGGCAGACACCATGTTTGATCATGGCTTCGGTCCTGATATTCGTAAGTTTCTTGCCCCGCTCAAGAATCGTGCATCTAAACCTAATGACCCTGGGTTTCAAACCGTCTTAGTTGCTGCAACAATGACAAAGGTATGTTCTTTATTGATGTTACTGGGTTTGTTAAAAGTTCCACTGTTCACTTTTTCCTTTTGGTTATTGATGTTTTCCTCTGATGCATGGAAAATTAATGTTGATATCTTAATAATAATAAAAAAAAGGAGTTCAAATGATTAAGATATCATGTAAAAGCAGCCAAGATAGTTTTGTGAAAATTGCTTTGCTATCCCAACAACGTCAATACGCCATAGTGTTAGTGTACCTTCCTTGACTCTGGATGATTGCTGCGTTAAAGTTTGACTATATTGTTGGTTGAGTTTTGTTACAATGTCTACTTTCTGGAATTTGTTTGGGGATACACAAGTTAACAGCAAGTTATGCAACCTTTAGATTCATATTGTTTCGCTACTAATAAGTTATTGGATTAAAGGCAGTTCAAACGCTGGTTGATGAGGAATTTCAAGGCGTTACACATTTGCGCACTTCAACGCTACATAAAAAGGTTGCATCTGCTCGTCATGATTTTATAAGACTTGCAGGAGCTGAGAACAAGCTGGAAGCGCTGTTACAGGTTTGTTTTTTCATGTGATATTACCTCCCTCTTGATGATATTAATTCTGCATCTTGCTTTATATAAGGTTATATAACTTATGTTAGTATTCCTACATTTTTTTTGGGGTTTTGTCTCTCAAAATTATGCATCCCACTGGCTTGCTGTAAATATCAACATATGTTTTTTTTGATCCTTTTGTTTCCGAAGAATAAGCTGTTTTAACATTCTTTGGACTTCCCTGCAAAAATGTGATCATGGAAGCCCAGCTAACTTTATGTGTAAACAAACTTCAAATTAGTTCCTGGATTTGGAAGACTTGGGTTGCTCTATCTAAAGCAATGACATCCCTTGAGCTCTTAGTGATCACTTAAGTTTTTGCAAATTAAAAAACCTAGGGGTATACTGTTTTTTCAGACTTAAACCTCTGTAGGAGGTGCTACTTGGAGTCTCAGATTCTTCACTTGGCAGAGGGTCTTGCGCATGGTACTTATGGGATATGACGTTTTGGCTGTATTTGGCATGATGCCCTAGATTCTGAGGTCTGGGAGAGAAAAAAAGACAGCGCGAAATGTAGTACCTGAACTCCAATTATGAGTGAGGCATGTTGTCAGGTGGCATAATGGGAAAGGATTTAAATTTTGACCTTCAAGTCTATTCTAGGAAGACTTTAAGATGTAGAAAATCCAAAGTTGGGCCCAGTTATGATAGGTTTTATCCATGTAAACCTAAAGAATTATTTTTATTAATTATTGAGTTACAAAAAATTTTGGGACTAAGGCTTTGTTGTTGTAAATATCATTTTAGGAATTTGATTCTTTCATTCTTTATGTTAGGAACAATATGTCGTTATTTTATCTAGTTTATCTTGGTTTAGGGAACGTTTTATAATAACTAAATCATTTAAATGATTGCACGAAGGTTATTGTTAGGTTAGAGGTACCACGATACCACCCAAAAAAAAAAACACTGTGATAGGCTAATAGCTAAAAGTTTGCGTAGTTAAAACAAATTTGAAATTGAGATTTCTTCAGGTTCATGCCGTACATTTCATTGTTTGTAGCTCACTTATTTATGTGCAGTTTTCCATTTGGTCTTACTTTGCTTGTGATTTACTTGCTTTCTGCTTTTTTAGTGCATCAATCTGCTTTATGAGGTCTATAAATGTGAATCAATTTGAGCTTGTGTAATGCATTTCTTTTGATTGTGTAATCATGAACAATGACCTCAAGTGCCCTATGGTGGCTGATGACAATGACCCTAATTTGATTTCATTCTATTATTCTTGCTTTGAACATGATAATCCCTTTCCACATACTTATAATTGTTTCTGATGTTATTGTTACAAACATGTCCCATATGTCCAAAAACCCACCTGCCCAAAGCCACACAAAAGTATTCAATGTATGTGCATGCATTGCTTGCTGTAGATTTAAATTCTAGGTGGGTGGAACCTGGAAGCATGTGAATGCTCAAAAGCCAAATATCATTTCCATCTTGCCAGTTTGAGCGCTAAAAAAACCCGGCATGGATTAGATCTCGTTGGGGTTAGTCTTGTACACACTTTTGTTTCTTTGTGGCCTATGTCTAGTGGGCACTAGTGAAAGTTTGAGAGGGAAATTGAAAGGGGCTAATATGTGAGAGTTGAGTTTGAATACATCAAAGTCACAAGCTGATAGGAAGGCATAGATTTGATCAAAGATCATATCTTAGTTGATTAAATGGTGACTGGTAAAGAAGCTTAACTTGGATGTGAAGGCTAAGTAAAGAGGCTTATTTGATGTTATAAAGCATGGTGCAAGAATTGCTTCAAGGTGCAACAATCATTATGTTAGAAAATTGATCTATGTCACTCTTAAAGGTCACCGTGCGAACAAGCATGACTAAAACTAAAAGGCCTAAGAAACATTAAAAATTTTACGAAGTAGATAGGGCACTAGACTAAGAATTTATCACCCGTTTTTCAGCTTACATTTTTTGATTTAGTGAGATTTGTTTTTTTTTTTTTTTTTCCCACTGAATAATTTGTAACAGAAGGGAAACTTTTGTTGTTCATTTTCCTCTGAAATGGAGGATTACAAGTAGCCAAAGTAGGTCTCATGACTCATGATGACTTCAAATTTCATCATCTATCAAGTGCCTTTTTGGCTATTATGCTCTTGATCATGCTTCCCTAGAGTAAACTTTATGGCGTTCATGCAATAATTTCAATCCTTTAGGTGTAAGATGTTAGCATTTAACCTTTTTTTCTACTTCCAAGTGAATGAAATAACAGATTTTTTTTTTTTTCGGAAGATAGGCCAGCACAATGATTCTTAGAATAGCTGAAGAAAGGAGATTTTTCACTAGAGGATAGCCTATTTTCCTGCTTACCAGCTGGCCTGCCTTTATTTTTTCTCTTGGATTTTACTGCTCTTATGTAAAGACCTCAAAGGAATAAACTATTTGAGAATTTTTGGGCCTTTTGTGGGGATGGGATCTTAAGTGCTTAGTTGTATATCTGATACCACATCTAATTCATCTGAATTCAGAAGTGTTGTAATGGATTGCACTCATTTTTCGTTTTATTGTCAATGCAGGTTCTTGAACCTAGCCTGTCCAAAGGAAATAAAGTCATGGTCTTCTGTAATACTTTGGATTCAAGTCGTGCTGTCGATCACTTCCTTCGTGAAAATCAAATCTATACAGTTAATTATCATGGAGAAGTCCCTGCAGAACAAAGGTAAGGCAAACAGTTCTAACTTTGGAGTAGATATTTGTAATTAATGGAAGTGCATCATCATATGACTAAACATGAAAAGAAAAAACCTTAGGTTCTATCTTAATTAATAGCAGTTTTCATAAGTGTCAGTTTCTTTTAGTGTATCAAGTGGTTGATTGTATGACTTTGTCATGAGTTTGCTGGAAGCTCCTTTCTGGAGCATCTCTATGTGGCCAAATTGTCCATATTCCAGCATAATACAGATGGAATTAATTTTCTGAAGCCTATTTTAGTGATTATGCTCTTGTTCCACTTCATTGGGTTTATTGAATCATTTGATGAGAATCTAAAGCTGAAAATCGCTTGCTACACCAATACTTTGGGACAATGTTTACAATCTGGGGATATAAACAAGACATGCTGCAACCAGAAAATTTCTTTGCTTGTTCCTCCCATATTTAATTTTTTAGGGAGGGGTGGATTTAGAATGGCAAGTAATGCAAATATTTTTTTGGGAATCATTTTTGCGCACACTTGGAAGGCTTGATATTCACAGAAAAATAGTGCTAGTTCTACCTTTTTTCCTGAATATTGTATATGCTTTCCTTGAATGCATTGTCTAGGTCTCTAGGAGGGAACTGTTTATTCTTAGAGGCATTGTGATATTGACTGCTGAAAAAAATATGCTTTTTATGGAAGAATCTAAATTCAAATGTTCTTTGGATTCTTATTTTAGGCAACCCAAACTAGCCTACCATTGCTCATCACGATACATGTATAGTTGTTAGACTCAGTTATTTCATGAAAAAATTGTATGTTTGGGCCCATGATGAAGTGTCCATACTTGTGTCAATTCCCCACCCACAATTATATTTCTTGCTTCCAGTTTTAGAACTGCCATGTTAAACTCGTACATTAATTGGATTATTCACTCATTTCTTTGATTCTTGATCTAGGGTTGAGAATCTCAAAAAATTTAAAGATGAAGATGGTGATTGTCCCACTTTGGTCTGCACTGATCTGGCTGCTAGGGGACTGGACTTGGATGTGGACCATGTTATCATGTTTGACTTTCCTAAGAATTCTGTGAGTATGAGAGCATAGTGTTTGCTTTCTATTTGTTATTTGGAGTCTCTCTTCCCTTCCAAATTATTTAATCTCAATCAACAATTGTGCAGGTTGATTATCTCCATCGCACTGGAAGAACTGCACGTATGGGTGCAAAAGGTACCTAAAAACTGTAACTGAAATTGATAATTGATTTTCCAATTTGATGAATGTTTTGCCTAAACGTGGAAAGGCCTGTTCTCTTGTATATATCTTAGTATTGATTTTCATTCATGTTGTTACTAGTAATATCTGTTTAGTTGGATGTGTGAAATACATAGGGGAAGGCCTTTAATCATATGGCCTTTCAATATTGTGGATCTGTTGCTAGCAGGTAATGACCAGAGGTCAGTTCTTATTGTCTATGACCATTTGGATGGGGATTGAGGGATGCTGCTTCTAATTGTTTGGTCTTTCAAGCCGGAGGGGTCCAGCCTAAAGATTTTTTGTAGGTCTCTGGCTGACCTGACTTGGCCACAGGCTTCCCACGAAGCTGTCAAGTACACATGTTTTCTTTTAGAAAGAGAAAAAAATAATAGCTAAGGACAAACCACCTTTGAGTCCAAACACCATCTTAACAATTACGTAGTATATAGTGGATTAAGTTTTACTGCTTTTGAGTGAATAATTGAATATTGGGTCTTCAGTTAGCTTTATCCCTTTATTGTTTGGTTTAGTTTTAGCCCTTTATTGGAGAATGTGCCTGATTCTCTGCTGTCATTTCAGATTGTTTTGGGTTTAGCTTTTTGTCCAGCACAACAAATTTGTAGTGGAATTATAAAAATATAAATTTTGAAACTTGAAAGTTGGAGCTAACTATGGCAATCATGGCCTAAAAAAAGGACCTTTTAGAGGACTTGTGTTCTTTATATCGTTGTACTTGGTACTCTTGTAAACAGATTTTCCTCCGTTCTCTTGTAATCTATAAATTAACTTTTTTAAATCTAAAAATAATTATGAAACCAATGGCCAACGCTCTACTTCATCGTTACATGCACTCAACCACAATAGTGGTGTTTGGACTGTCCTATTTTCTTTTGGGTTCAGCTAAGTATCGAAGTGATCCACATTACATAATTAAAAATTTAACAAGGGTATCTGAGGTTAAACATGGTGCTGCATCAAGCAGTCCATGCCATATTCGTTAGTGTCCTATGAGTAAGAAGCTCAATGCATGGTTTTAAGGTGTGCCTTACTTGAAGGGGCTGAGTTTTAAATGATCATTAGATTAGGCATTCTATTGGATAGTGTAGAAGTACAATCAGTGGTTCTTGTCTTTTGGATTGCTCAATATTTGATATATGGCTTGATTTTCCTACGACTGTTGCAAGGACTTGACAGAACCTAGAAAGTGTGATCTTGATATGAATTTATAAACTTGCTTTGCTTATGTTGTTATGTGGATACCTGGATATTAATTGTAGTCAATTATCTGATTTGCTGATGAATACTCTTGCGTTCATCCCTTGTTATCACGGTAAGATATTCTCTCTCTTGCTTTGTGTGTGTGACTGTGTGAGTATGTTCAATATAACCTTGATGATGATTGATCTCATTCTTATTTTGTACATTTTCTTATTAGGGAAAGTAACCAGTTTGGTTGCCAAGAGGGATGTGCCATTGGCCACGCGAATTGAGGAGGCTATCAAGAAAAATGAGTGCTTGGAATCCCTCAGTGTAGATAGCGTAAGGAGGGATATTGCTAGGACGCGTATAAGTCAACAGCTAGGAAGTAATGTGAAGGTCATTAGGACTTCTGCTTTGAAAAGCAGAGGCCGAGCTGCTCCAGAAAAATCCACAGGTCCTGGCAAAAACAGTAGTAGAGCTGCTCCAGCAAAGTCCACAGTTGTGCCTGGTAAAAGCAGTAGTAGACCTGCTTCTGCAAAATCCTCCGGTATGGCGGGAAAAAGGTTTGCTACTCAGGCATCTGAAAGGAAAAGCTCCGGTGGAAAATTCGGAAAAGCAGCTATTCAGTCTAAAGGAAAATATGAAAAAGCAACAAGTCAGTCGAAACCAAAATCTGGTAAAGTAGTTGGTCAGTTCAAACCTACAAAGAAAGCTGTCAAGGGTTCAAAGTTTACAAGCGCAACTACCTCAAACAGACCCTCTAAGATAAGTGTTGTTGGATTTCGAGGACGAAGTTCTTCCTAGGTGACAAAAATTTGATTGAAATTTTGTTAACTGTAACTTTTTGGTTGAGAGACAGGGGGTGGGGGGGGGGGGGTTAAGGTAGTTATAATGTTATTTGTAAATTAGAAGAATTATTGTCAAGTTATGGGTTAGAGTTTGCAACATACTTCTAGCAATTCGCTATATAATACAGAGTATTGGTTCAACACTAATCGATATATAGATTATATCAGCGTAAAATGATTTATTGCTGATGCGGCTATTTTTTAACATCAAGAACAGCTTGTAAATAAATACAGAAGAGATTTCTGGGTGAAATGAAATACAGAGTTTCAGTGTTAAATGAAATTGATTAGCATGCACATCAAGTCTCATCAGTTTACAAAGTTGATAGCAAACGTTTACTTCCAAGTTAGAGCAAGTCGAGCAGGCTTGTTTGGTGTGACGGTATTTCCAGCAGAGTCGTAAATGATGACCCCAGAATAATCAGGTAACTGGCATTTGCCTCCCATGAGTATGTTCTTTTGCCAAACAGGTCCTGATACATATTGGTTCTCCCCTGCCTCTGTGGGACTATATATCATCCCTTCATTGTGAAGCTGCTGTATAACAGGCTCATTGCCCCTGTTCGTGTAGCAAGCACTCCACCGTCGCCACCTCCTGGAGTGAGATGCACACATAAAAAGCGTAAAGGCACAGAAGAAAAGGGTGAGAGCAGCAAATCCAGTTTGAGGCATACTGAAGGAAAAATTCACTGCTGAGAGAAGGCGAGCCATGACTAAGTCTAAGAGGGTAGAGGTGTATCATATGTCAAGTTTATGAGTTTCTTATTTATAATGATGGGTGAATCAGAGGTTCCATATGCATATAGTATTGTGGCGTAGTTGCTATTTTTAAAAACCAACAAGTGGGTTTGTTGAAGTATTAGGAGTTTGGATAAACCTAACTAATTTAAGATCAAACTTTGTTATTTATTTTTTTGTTTGTTTATTTATGTGGATTAAGTTCCTATGAAGAGTGGTTTTGGTACAAGGTTTTGGATTTGTTGCTAATCACCTAACCACGCTAGATAAAGGGTGAGTGTACAAGGTTTGGATTTGTTGAATATGATAGAAAAGATTGATAACAAGATATACACAAAAACATACATAATTTTCTATGATGGATATCAAAACAAACATATCACATACCAGATATCACCATCCTTTCTAGTATTTTTTTTTTTCCCTCTTTTCTTTTTTTTTTTTGAAGAATTTTTTCCCCCTCTTTCTAAACATCAATATCACATATTACCAAAAAAAAAAAAAAAAGGTGGGGAAAAGAAAAAGAGAATGTCCGGCAATAGGAATCGATCTGGAGACAACATACTCATGTGTTGGTGTATGGCAGCACAGCCGTGTTGAAATAATAATCAATGATCAAGGAAACAGAACGACACCATCTTGTGTTGCTTTCAATCAAACCCAACGTCTTGTTGGCGAGGCTGCTAAAAATCAGGCTACTTCTAATCCTATTAATACTATTTTTGGTTCGTTTTTACTATCATGTATTCATGTTACAATTTAATTTTGCTTCGTTTTGATGAACTTTTGAACATTAGTTTTGGTTACGGTTGATTTTCTTAACGTGTGCAATGTGCCAAATATATGAATAGCATGATTATTGTTGAAATTATTTTCATTAAAATTTTTTTAGGGAATTATTTTCATTAAATAAATACAAATAAATATTTAATGTACACTAGCATTACTAAACAATCCATAATTATGTTTTACTAGACTGATTTTCTAATGTGTGCCCTTATGTCAATAGCATGCATTTTAGAATAAACTAATTAATAACAGTTGATTTTTGTTGAGGGTAAATAATCTTAATTATTATTGTTGATTAACTGAAACTTATTGTTGTTGATTATAGCTAATATTATTTATTGTACACTAGCACTACTGCACGTATAATCTATATGTTGATTTTTCTAATATGTGCCCAATGTATGTAATATCATCTACGTTAAATCAAACTAACCCAAGTTAACAATCAGACGATCTGTAATGGGTGAGAAGTGACATATACTCTAAAAAGCACATTAACTACTTGTGTATTGTTACAAAAGTTTATACTTTTCTCCGTTTCATAAATATTGCAACAAAAGCTCTCACATTTTGTCAAAGTTTTGCAATTTTTTTTTTTTTGAAGACAGTTTTGAATTTATTTTGATACAAACGAAGTATTTCAAATATTGATGCAATAGCTGTGATTATATTTGTCAATTTCTAATATATATTTCACTGAAATAAATTACAGATGCAAAGAGGCTTATTGGCAGAAGATTCACTGATGAAGTAGTGCAGAATGACATGAAACTCTGGTCTTTTAAGGTTATTTCCGCGTCTGAAGACAACAAACCTGTAATTGTAGTCACCTATAGAGGCGAAGAAAAGCAGTTTGCTGCTGAGGAGATCTCTTCAATGGTCCTGATGAAGATGAAACAGACTGCAGAGACCTACCTTGGCTCGGAAGTGAAAAATGCTGTTGTCACTGTCCCTGCTTATTTCAATGATTCCCAGCGTCAGGCAACAAGAGATGCCGGTACCATTGCTGGACTCAACGTCATGCGCATTATCAATGAACCAACGGCTGCTGCCATTGCCTATGGTCTTGACAAGATGGGCAGTGATAAGAAAGAGACGGCTAAGAATGTGTTAGTTTTTGATCTTGGAGGTGGGACATTTGATGTATCTTTGGTTAGAATTGGTAAACAGGCTTGTGAAGTGAAAGCAGTTAACGGAGACACCCATCTTGGTGGTGAGGATTTTGACAGTAGAATGGTTGATTACTTTGTGTCTCAATTTAAAAGAAAACATAACAAGGACATTAGTGGAGATCGCAGAGCTATTGGGAGGTTGAGATCTGCTTGTGAGAGGGCGAAAAGGATGTTGTCATCAACTACCGAGACTAGTGTTGATGTTGATTGTCTCTACGAGGGTATTGATTTTTATTCGACCATCTCCCGTGCCAGGTTTGAAAGGTTGAACCTGGATTTGTTTACTAATTGTATAAATCCTGTTAAGAAATGTCTGGAAGACGCCAAGATGAAAAAGACTAGTGTTGATGATGTTGTTCTTGTTGGTGGGTCATGTAGGATTCCAAAGGTTCAGGAATTATTGAAAGATTTCTTCAATGGGAAGGAGTTTTGCCAAAGCATTAACCCGGATGAGGCTGTTGCATATGGTGCTGCGGTTCAAGCTGCAATCTTGAGCGGTACACATAACAATAGGGACTTTACTCTAGTAGATGTAACTCCTTTGTCCCTTGGGGTTAAGCTTTATTATGGTGAGATGTGTATTTTGATCCCAAGAAATTCTAGCATTCCAGTGAAAAAGTCGACTACTCTTTACAATGCAGATAACGATACAACCGTTCATGTTCGTGTATTCGAAGGTGAGAGACCCATCGCCTTAGACAACAACTTCTTAGGTATGTTTGAACTGCACAATATCCCTTCAGCACGGATAGGTAGCCAAAAATTTGATGTCTGCTTTGAAATGGACAATGATGGTATCCTTACAGTGTCAGCGCAGCATATAGGCACTATCAAGCAGGAGAGTGAGACCCAGAAATGCATGTTAATAGTCTTGTTTAATGCCAACAATCTAAAAAGACCGAAAACATACTTTCAGAAAATTAATCTGTAACTACTGATTCATCTATATGTGCACCGCGCACGGCCATAGACAGAAGATTATACATGCATGTTAAGTGTAGTCACTCGCTTGCCATCACAATCTAACATATCAAAGCTAATGATTTAGAGACCTAACGAGTAACAACATGAAATAACATGGAAGCAATTCACATTTATAGGAAAATAATTTCTTAATTATAGACAAAACAGATCAGTCCTTTCTGACCACACCATCAATTACTTCAATAAGAAAAAATAAGCTTAAAATCCGCAAATATCCTTAAAAATTCAAGCACAATAACACTAAATATGATATATAAATACCATCTTAAGCACTTTTTATAGCCATGTCAATAGATTGGGGGTTGATTACAGTATCTCTTGCTGGTAGCAGCACCTTTGTCAAGGCATGTCTCCAATTATAGGGTCCAGAATGGTCTTGAGCTCATTCAACTTTTCCTCATATTCAGAGACTCGAGTGAGATTGAAATTCCAGTCGAGCCACTGGATTGTCTTCTCAATTGCATCCTTCATCTTTTTAGCATCCTCCTCTCGAAACTTGTTCCAACAAACTTCCACCATATCCCACATACTTTCAGCATACTTCTGTAATGCAAGCTTGGCGTTAACAACTTTTTTGTGCTCCTTGTCCTCTGCCTAGTACTTGTTAGCCTTCTCTACCACTCGATCAATCTCTTCTTTGGATAACCTACCACTGTAATTTGTAATACTAATTTGGTTTTTGTTATTAGTGCCTATATGTTGCGCTGACACCGTAAGGATACCATCATTGTCGATTTCAAAGCAGACATCAAATTCTTCGTGACCTTCCGGTGCTGCGGCAGGGATATTGTACAGATCAAACTTACCTAGCAGGTTGTTCTCTAAGGCAATGGGACTCTCACCTTCGAATACATTAAATGACACCTCTGTCTGATTGTGCACTGCAGTACACATCATTTTTGACACATTCACTGGAATGGTAGAATTTCTTGGGATGAAAATGGCCATCTCACCACCAGTATTAATCTCAACTCCAAGGGACAAAGGAGTGATGTCTACTAGTGTAAACTCTTTATTGTTACGTACACCGCTCAAGATTGCAGCTTGAATCGCAGCACCATACGCAACAGCCTCGTCCGGGTTAATGCCTTGGCAAAGCTCCTTCCCATCGAAGAAATCTTTTAACAATTCTTGAACTTTTGGAATCCTGGTTGACCCACCAACTAGAACAACATCATCAACATTAGTCTTTTTTATCTTGGCGTCTTCCAAACATTTCTCAACAGGATTGATGCAATTAGTAAACTAATCCAGGTTCAACTTTTCGAACCTTGCACGGGAGATGGTCGAATAAAAATCAATACCCTCAAAGAGAATCTACATTAACACTAGTCTCGGTTGTTTTTTGTTGTTAGTGCCTATATGCTGCGCTGACACTGTAAGGATACCATCATTGTCCATTTCAAAGCAGACATCAAATTTTTGGCTACCTATCCGTGCTGAAGGGATATTGTGCAGTTCAAACATACCTAAGAAGTTGTTGTCTAAGGCGATGGGTCTCTCACCTTCGAATACACGAACATGAACGGTTGTATCGTTATCTGCATTGTAAAGAGTAGTCGACTTTTTCACTGGAATGCTAGAATTTCTTGGGATCAAAATACACATCTCACCATAATAAAGCTTAACCCCAAGGGACAAAGGAGTTACATCTACTAGAGTAAAGTCCCTATTGTTATGTGTACCGCTCAAGATTGCAGCTTGAACCGCAGCACCATATGCAACAGCCTCATCCGGGTTAATGCTTTGGCAAAACTCCTTCCCATTGAAGAAATCTTTCAATAATTCCTGAACCTTTGGAATCCTACATGACCCACCAACAAGAACAACATCATCAACACTAGTCTTTTTCATCTTGGCGTCTTCCAGACATTTCTTAACAGGATTTATACAATTAGTAAACAAATCCAGGTTCAACCTTTCAAACCTGGCACGGGAGATGGTCGAATAAAAATCAATACCCTCGTAGAGACAATCAACATCAACACTAGTCTCGGTAGTTGATGACAACATCCTTTTCGCCCTCTCACAAGCAGATCTCAACCTCCCAATAGCTCTGCGATCTCCACTAATGTCCTTGTTATGTTTTCTTTTAAATTGAGACACAAAGTAATCAACCATTCTACTGTCAAAATCCTCACCACCAAGATGGGTGTCTCCGTTAACTGCTTTCACTTCACAAGCCTGTTTACCAATTCTAACCAAAGATACATCAAATGTCCCACCTCCAAGATCAAAAACTAACACATTCTTAGCCGTCTCTTTCTTATCACTGCCCATCTTGTCAAGACCATAGGCAATGGCAGCAGCCGTTGGTTCATTGATAATGCGCATGACGTTGAGTCCAGCAATGGTACCGGCATCTCTTGTTGCCTGACGCTGGGAATCATTGAAATAAGCAGGGACAGTGACAACAGCATTTTTCACTTCCGAGCCAAGGTAGGTCTCTGCAGTCTGTTTCATCTTCATCAGGACCATTGAAGAGATCTCCTCAGCAGCAAACTGCTTTTCTTCGCCTCTATAGGTGACTACAATTACAGGTTTGTTGTCTTCAGACGCGGAAATAACCTTAAAAGACCAGAGTTTCATGTCATTCTGCACTACTTCATCAGTGAATCTTCTGCCAATAAGCCTCTTTGCATCTGTAATTTATTTCAGTGAATAAGAAACTAAATATAAGTAATTGACTAATATAATGATAGCAACTGCATCAAATTTTGAAATCCAAAGTATAAACTTTTTCTAGAATATTGTCACATAGTAACAGTTAATGTGCTATACTCTTAAGACTTATGGTGTAATGTGTATATCTCATTCATTACAGATCGATCATCCTATTGTTTAGCCACCCTTTATTACATCAATAACGCGTATTCAAGTATTTACCACTTTTGTATATTATACTTACTAGATTATTACAAGTACAATGCTATCTTCTCATGAGAGTCTGAACTCCAACATTAACTTTTCCACATATAAATATGGTGTGATTTGTGTATCAAACCTATTTGTCTATGTTATCTTTACCGAAAAGGGCAAATATTGATAATTTTAATCTATAAAAAAATCTAATCTATAAATATATGTTCACAGAGTAAAAATTACAAGTTGTGTCGTTTATATCAATCAGTAATCATTCCTGTTGTTTTATCCCACCAAAACTCCCCCTGCCTTTTTTTTTTTTTTTTTTCCTATTTTTAGTTTTATTTTTGTCAATGCCATCAACTACCTAAAATAAATTATGTACAAAATTTTCAACAAGTCATATTATTATGATATTTTTTTATTCACATATTTACCTAATCTATCTTAAAATATTTTCCATATCTATTAATTCTCAACTATAAATATTACTCCATATATTACATACAATACATCATATACAATACTGGTGGGTCGGATATAAGGTTATTATTGTGTTTATAGATTTGCTGAATCAACCGGTAAAACATGTATCAAATAACTTAAATTACTATTTAAATTACAATCCTTTATTTTTGTATCAATCATTAGCAAATAAGCCCTTCATTAATAATTGAATTATATTTGTTTTTTTCCTACTAAATTAATAATTTGATTTATAAACCGTGCATCGCACGGGTACTATGCTAGTTATTAACTTATAATGAAACGTAATTGTGGATTATTATAAGGTAGTGTTAGACAATTAGTGTACCACAAATACAAGTATTAGTATTAATCCACAACAATAAGTTTTAATTAATCAACATTAATATTAATTGTAAAAATTACTTTTAACTTATTAGTTGGGTGAGTTTGATTTAACATAGACTCTATTTACATAACCATTACCAAATAAATGTTGCAGAAGTAGTTGTCATATAAGAAAACGAAGCAAAATTAAATTGTAACATGATAAAAATTATATGAAGATAGGAGGATAGAGAAAACGAACCAAAAACGGTATTAATAGGATTAGAAGTAGCCTGATTTTTAGCAGCCTCGCCAACAAGACGTTGGGTTTGATTGAAAGCAACACAAGATGGTGTCGTTCTGTTTCCTTGATCATTGATTATTATCTCAACACGGTTGTGCTGCCATACTCCTACGCAAGAGTATGTTGTCCCGAGATCGATTCCTATTGCCGGCATTCTTTTTTCCCTTCTTCCACCTTTAAAGCCCCAAAGAAAATTGTTTTTTCTTGGTGATATTGCTGTTTAGAAAGAGTGGTAAGGGTGTTTGTTTGAAGGAATTTATTACTTCGATTGGCAAAATAAATTATGGGAATTGAAATTTCGAGTGAAAAGTAAAGCAATTACAGGGAGATCCGACAGAGTAGACTATTAAGGATATTTTTTTAGGAAATAGAAAGTGTAGACTACTTAGGATTTTCTATTTTACTAAAGTATTTCATGCAAGTAACCACTCAAGTATCAAATTCGTCGACAAAACCTAAGCTTATAAACATAGAATAATCTTTCTAAAAGATATACTATCACAACCATATATCCTAAATATATATTAACTAGATAATCACAAACTCTTATATGAAAAAATATCTTAACATAAATAATCTAAATATATTATTTTCATAATATATAATATCAATATAGAAAATATATCACACTTATATTTATCTCGTTACAACTCTTTAAAAGTGAACAATTCACGGAACTGTTCCTTATGAACAGTAGGACAGTGTTCTTCCGGAATTACCGGTTTTGTCCTTTTTCCCCTTTTCTTCTGTCCTTTTCTCTCTCTTCTTCTTTACTCATTCTATCCTTCTTTTCTTTGTCTGAGCTGTTCCCACGCACGCAGAACGGGCTCCCCCACGACGCATAAAATCCAGATCCAGAAAGACGAAGGGCCGGTGGTGGGAAAAGGCCATTGAAGCTTATATTAAGTGTGAATCTTCTGAAATTTTGGTTTGAGCTTCATAATTTGAGTTTTGAATTTCGATGTTATTGATGTTGGTTTTTACTGATTTCGATTGTGTTAAGGTCTCTGTTCATTTTTCATTTCTGAAGTTTTGTGATTGATTTTTATATCAATTATGTGTTTTTTGATGGAGTGAATTTGGGTAATTTTGTTTTGCTTTTGAATCTTGGTGTCCTGTTGGTTTAATTATTTTTTGCATGTGATATTAGGCGAGTTTGATTGGTTTCGTTTGTTGCTTGAATTCGTTAAGTGAGCTTGATTGGGTTCGTAAAGTGTATTTTTGGGCTTAACATGTTTTATTTAGCTGTGTTTTATTTAGTTGGTGGATGTTCTGTCTGTATTAAACCGGCGTTATGCTTAAATCTTGCAACTTTATTCTCACTACTTGCATGTTTAAGAAACGCTAGGCAAGTAAAATTAAGTATACCTGCCAAGAAAATTCATTTTGTTTTGGGGTTTTGCAGCTTTTACTTGTACTGTTATTGTTTTTGTTATTGTTCAGGTGATATTTGATTTGCATTTGTTTATTGTGGTAAGATTATCCTATAAACCCTAATTATTTATATGGTTCAACCACTAATTATTTTCGGGATTTTAATTTGTTCAATATTCTCCTCGACTATGTTCAGAGGTGGTGGAGGTCTTCAATTATTTGCTCCATTAGGTAAGATGTTATTTTAAAAGTTGTTTTTTAAAATTTTCCTGCATTTAAAATTTTGTTTTATGCTGCTCTTTAACCCATTTCCCTTTTCATCATTCTTCAATTAAACATTAGAAATTGACATTTTATTCATTTTTAAAAATGTTGGTATATTGAGTAGAAATTTTCTGGGTCGTTGAGTTTTAATTCCGATTCGATGAATAGAGCTGTAGAAACTCAGATTTCACTCTAAATTATCTTACTGTTTTCTTTGTTGCTTGTATTTTCTGCATGTTATTTACTTGACTTTTGATGAAATTTAGGATATAATTTAGCATATGTTGGCTAAAAAAATGAAATTGGATTCTATCATATTAAGCCATTGGCTTTTTTAGAGAGCAATTATTTTGGGGTTTATGATGAGTGATTTTTTTTTATTTGTTCCTGCTTTCTGAGTTTTGCATTTTTCTAATTGGTTTCTGTGGATTTGAGGAATTTTGGGTACTACTATTTTATTAATAACTTATGTTACTGGAACTCATTTTAAGTCATACTCACAGGAGGTTACATTATACCTCTGGATTTAGTTCTTCATCTGTTCTTTTTGTTGGACATTAGATATTATATTATTAATACATATATCTGCTTGATTATTTCATAATGCTTCATTGGTAGCAAAAAATCCAATCTTTTGAGCTACGCATAAAAAACTATTAATAACAAATGCCAAGATTATAATGGAGTTTGATGAGGGGCTCACTCGAGGTCTATACAATTATCATGTGTAGCACAAAGATTTCTTAATTATTTTTGAACTTTCATTGTGGTTTATATTTGGAATTTAGTTTATATAATGTAATAAATTGGTTTTAATGATGTTCATGCTGCTCTATTCTTTTGCAAATTTGCAAATGTTTGATGTGATATATCGTGTCTGGTTTTGAACTGTAATTTTAACAGATTGCAAATATTATACGAATGGTCTTATTGATTGTGTTTTGAATTGTTAAATTGTTATTTTGGCCTGTAATTTTGTTTATGTTTATGTATTCAATTAGACTGAAATTATGGCCAAAGAAAACAAACAACTGTCATGCAAGCAGATATTTAGTTTGGCCAAACCATGAGATTGCTTTTGTTTATGTTTATGTATTCAATTAGACTGAAATTATGTTAATGGATACTGTTAGATTTCTGGTTTGAGTGGGAAAAAAAATTGAATTTACTTTGTAATTAGATTAGATCCAAAAATGGTCTTTGTAGTTTTTACTCGGATATTTAAATCTGATTTCCTTTTGATGTCTTTATTCTCCATGGTATTAGTGAAATTTGGGGAAACGATTACTCATACTTTACTGACCATTAACTAAAATTAGTTTAACCTTGAATTGAGAATTGGAATTTATTCTTTTGCTTTTGCAATTTCAGTGAAGTCGATGAGGAGAGAGAAGCTGTGGAAGCAAGAGAAGGAAGAAGATCAGAAAAATAGTGCACTGTCAGATTTTAAGTTATTTGCTAATGTGGGATATTGTAAGAAATTTGGGTAGCATACAATTGGTCCTCATTACCAAGCCATTTTCCCATGAGATAATGTAATGTTTTAATTTTTTTTGTTTTGTATCTTACATGTTCATATACTCCGTAGGATACTTTTAAACTACCAACAATATTTATTTTCCGCCTTGCTTTAAGGTTTTTTCCCATCAATCACGCACAAATTTTCAACGTAGGAATTATGAACAACAGCAACATTACGCGCAAAGAGGGATGATGCAAAATCATCATCAGCTACAACATCAGTTTCAACGGCAGCAACAGACAGCAGCAACATCAACAACATTTTCAGCATCATCAGCAACAATTGCAGCAGATACAACAGCAACAGAATCAGCAGCAGAAGCAGATGCAGCAGCAGCAACAACAACAGCAGCAATGGCTTAGGAGGGGTCAGTTAGGGGGTATAACGGTGGCCGGTGTTGACGAGGTTGAGAAGACAGTGCAGTCCGAAGCAATTGACACGAGGTATTGAGAATATTTAGTTTCTTTTTATGGTTGTATTGGTTGTTACTATATTATTTTTGGTTGTTGATGTTTGTATTAGTCGAATGTTAGGATTTTTTCTACACATTATTCAAGAGAGGGAAAAGAATTGAGGTTTATCTTTTGAAATTTTTGGAGAATGCCGGTTTTAGCTACGGTGTCAGGAATGCTTTTTTTGCCTTATTTCCGTGGAAATCTAGCTAAAAAAAAGGGTTCAAATATGAACTTTTAGAAGAATTTGTATTAGTAGAAAAGGAAGATACTTAATGTTAACAGAAAATCCCACATAAAAGAAGTGTTGGGACGTTCTTACTATTCAATCCATATACATTGATACCACTAGATTTGACCATAAGCCATTTAATAAATTGAAACCTAGAAATTTATGTGGGCTGGGGTTTGAAAGAGTGTTGTTTGAAGATTGTAGATTGATAGTTGAAACCTGTGCCATTAAATGCTTGGGAATCTGGAAATTTTAGTCAGATTTACAAATGGTAAGTCTTTTGCATACCCATGATATAGTCGAGCTTTTTCAATGTGACATTATAAATTAGGTGTTGATGTGATTAGTTGTTTAGGATATTGATACATCAGGTTAAATTGAATGTGATATCGAAATTGAAAGGTTTGTTTTCAATTTTCACTTTTCTTTCTAGCTTTAGAGTTTTTGTTTCTGGGTTTTTGATTTGAAAATTTGGGTTTTGATTTGGAATTATGGGTTGTTGTAGGGTGAAGGGTGTATGAATGCCCAAGCAATTTTGTGGAGGAGAATCAGAAATTGGCGGCTAAATGTGTGAATTTAGTGAATCAGTGTTTGATTATTCATGCTCTTTCAAATGTGAGATGCATTGATTTGGAATTATGGGTTGTTGTAGGTTGAGGCCTGTATCAGTGTTCGAATTTAGCGAATCAGTGTTGGATAACTACAGTCATCAATGTGAGATGCTTTCGGTAAGTATTTCTCCTCAATTTCAGTCCATGCTCTTTTAAATTCATCCTCTTTCATTTTGATTTTTCGACTGAGATAGTCCAAGGAGGAGTAATTCAGGGGAATGTGAGAAAAAAAAAAACCTAAGGATTAACATAAGTTAGCGCGCTAAATTACTGACAAACAATCCCATAGCCTATTGTTCTGTTTTCTCTTATTTTATAAAAAAATTTGTGAAAAGTTATTTTTTTCATGGAAATTGCATTTTTTGATAGATACTACTGATTTTACTGGAGTTGGAGTAAATTAGGTCACAGGGAGTTGGAAAATAGACAATTATGAGTTATGAATGAGATTTATAGGTTTGATCCTACCTTTCCATGTAATTTTTATTATAACATCCACTCCTAAAGTTATACAATTATTGCTTATTTATAGAACGAAAGAAATCGAGCGATAAGATGCAAACTCTTTTATTCCGATTCTATAAATTCAGCATTCTTCATTGAAGCTCAAAGTTCTGTACAATATTGATACTCATGTTTATCTCTTTTCGGATTATTATTATTAATTGAATGACTTGGTCGTATTTATGAACTCATGAGAACATGATTCTAGGCTTTCTCGATTATACTTAGTTAGAAATCGGTAATTATGATAGTTGTGAACCCTTGTGCCGAAGGAGTTAAAAGCAGCCGGGTGGTTCTTTCTGTTTCCTGTAACCAACATATGAGGTATCTTATCTTCTTAGTTCTTGTTCTCATGTTGTTTATGTATTAAAGTGATCTTGTCAAGGTATAATATTTCTTTCTTATTTTTGATTTGGAGTGCTGATATTAATTTCAGATGCATTGAAATATATATATTTTCTGATTTTTAATTGAATTCATCTTATGGAATTTATATGTTAGACAAAGTAATTAACTATTTTGCTTTTGGATTTTGTAAAATTTGCTAATTTCTATGGGAAATACTACGTATATGATCGTTGTGGGCAATTGTATCTTTGTACTGGGGCACGTCAAATATATGATCATTGTGGGCAATTTGCCCTGTTCCATTTCCTTTTCAATTCCTATATCTTTTATCTAAATTTTCAATTAGTTTCTTCCTCCGCACCTAATCTAAAGAGAATAATAAATCTTTGCCACAATGTTAGTTTGACCAGTTACTTGAATTGCCAAAAAAAAAAATGTAATAGTTTGGAACATGATTTGGGAGATTTTTGGGAGAATCGAAGGTGGGTGTTTGGTATGATTGGCTTAAATGTACATCTAATACCTAACATTGCCTATTATAATAATATAGTTGTTAAGGGCTGTTAAAGTACAAATTCTAACTGTTATATTTTGTTGTTTGATGGGTTTTTAGTATGAGAACTTTATAGCTTAGATACATTAATATGCTCTTTTTTCCTCTTTTTCTGGTAACCAATTATCAGTAACACCCTCCATTATTGTATAGAATTGAACGGAAAAAAATGCTTTGGGGGCTCTGAACTTTTAAAGTTTCTCCTCACAAGTATTTCCAACTCTGTGAGTAATTACTGGTTTTTTTAATTGTGTTTTGGAAGATATGCGAGCTCTCGACGAGTTGAGGAAGCTGAAATTGTTCTTTAAGGATGAGAGCAGCCATGGTCTTACAGTTTCGGATGTCTATGAACTTATTCAGCATGCTGACAATGTGTTACCGAGGCTGTAATGTCTATGAACTTATAGGTGACTACAATTACAGGGTTGTTGTATTCAGACGCGGAAATAACCTTAAAAGGCCAGAGTTTCATGTCATTCTGCACTACTTCATCAGTGAATCTTCTGCCAATAAGCCTCTTTCCATCTGTAATTTATTTCAGTGAATAAGAAACTAAATATAAGTGATTGACAAATATAATAATAGCAACTGCATCAAATTTTGAAATCCAAAGTATAAACGTTTTCAAGAATATTGTCACATAGTAACAGTTAATGTGCTATACTCTTAAGACTTATGGTGTAATGTGTATATCTCATTCATTACAGATCGATCATCCTATTGTTTAGCCACCCTTTATTACATCAATAACGCGTATTCAAGTATTTACCACTTTTGTATATTATACTTACTAGATTATTACAAGTACAATGCTATCTTCTCATGAGAGTCTGAACTCCAACATTAACTTTTCCACATAAATATGGTGTGATTTGTGTATCAAACCTATTTGTCTATGTTATCTTTACCGAAAAGGGCAAATATTGATAATTTTAATCTACTACCTCCGTTAACTATTATCTGCAACATTTACCCGAAAGGGGTGCTACCTATTATTTGCAACAAACTGATTTCTTTCTTTTTTTAGTAACTTTTTTAAGTGTGAAATTACCAAAATACCCTTAAAAAAACTGATTTTAAAATAACCATATTTTTAACAACACTTCATTAAACCTAAAATAAATCCATCTACCATAATCATTCCCACCAAAAAAACCTACCCTATTCCAATTTTCTCAAAAAAATCAGAAACCTTTCATCTCCTCAACTACCCCATTCAATGTTCTTCCACCCACCACCATTAATGATGGCTCTTCATCTAGGTTGCTTCCAGAAACAACACAGATTTATTCTGTGTTTTCCCTTTCCCCTCACGCACTCTCTCTCTTCTCAGGAAAATTCACCCCTTCACCTCACTCTCTCTCCTACTTGAAACCCTAACTTTTCTAGATCTGGCTGTTGTACTTCGTATTTGTTTGAAAACCCTTCAAAAATGAGTTCCCCTAACCCAAAAAAGCCAGATCTAGGCGTTGTTGCGACGTACAAGTGCCAGAAATGCACCGGAAAATGCGATTAATTGGTACGCGTACTGCGATGTACCTTGATATGAAGCGTAGGGGAGGCTATGGTGCAAAGCTTACTCCTTGCTCCTCTGATGAGGATCCTGGTGAGGTTTTGAAGCCAGATCTGGCCAAAAATGTTGAGGGTTCCATCACAAAACCTCCTGAAATCGTGATTCTAGACAGCGATGATGAAGAAACCCCAGTTGCGGCCCCGTTGGTGGCGAAATCCGTTGAGCAGGTGGTGGATTATGGTGGATCTGGGTCTACAAAAGTTGTGGCTGGGAAAAAACGCCACAGATCTGAGTCCCCTATGCCTGACGATGTTGAAGGTGAAGGGGATTACAACCCTTTCACCTCTCGCTCCCACTAATCTCGCAGCGTAAAACATTTCTAACCCTAGATTTACTTCAGTGTTCTTTTTCATGTTTTCTGAAACCCTAATGTTACTAGTGGCTTGATTGTTATCCTAATTTGAGTTTTCATGGTTGATATGCTTTGCCTTGATTCTCCTTGTTTGCATGCCGATTCCATGTGTTGGATCTGTTTCTTATACTGACAAATTTTGCTTCTAATTGTTGGTTGTTGTTTGAAGAATATGTGAAGTTGATGTGATTTTGTGACTTTGTTGCCTTAATTATGCTGTGTATGCTATGTTCACATCTGTTGAGAGTTATTTTATGCTGGTGATAGTTGCCCTATTCATAGTGTATGTTGATGGCCCTATTGGTATTGTATGCTGGTTGCCCTATTGATAGTGTATGCTAGTTGGCCTATTGAGACTGAGTTTGCTATGTTAATACTTGGTGGGAGTTACCGTGTGTGTGTTGATGGTGGGAGAAGCCATATCTGGGAGTTACTTGTATGGTTGTAGGCCTATTTAGGCTGCGTTTGTTTTCTTGAAACTGGTGAACACACTATGTATGTTGTTGTATGTGTATGGTTGGTTTGAGGTGAATGCTGTCTTGTTTGAACTTATTTGGTTGCCCTATTGATACTATATTCTGTGTTGGCCTATTGAGACTGAGTTTGCTATGTTAAAACTTCCTGGGAGTTACTGTGTGTGTGTTGATGGATGGAGAGGTTGGCTGGGAGTTACTTGTATGGTTCTAGGCCTGTTTAGGTTGTTTATTGTTGTATGTGTATGGTTGGGTTGATGTGAATGCTGTATTGTTTGAACTTATTTAGTTGCTGGATACCCTATTCTGTCTTTGGGTTTGTATGTGTTAAGTTGTGGTTGTGTGGCTGAATTACTTCAATTCAGTTCACAGACTGGTTGTCCCTAGATTGTGTTTTGTGTTGGTGTACTTGGATCTTGAACAAGTTAGGCATTTGGCATTGGGGTTTGTGCAATGGTGAATGATGATCAACTTGTGGCATGCATGTCTGTTACTGTGTGAGTCCCACTTTGTGATATGTGTCCCTAGGTGAAGTAAGAGTCCCTAACTTTCTTGTGTGTGCCTGGAAAATCCATGTGATGAAGGGACTCATTTGATACATAACATTGTGTAATTGGTATTTCTCCAACAACTCCTTATGTGAGTTGTTGTTGAGGGAACCAATTATGTATTGTCTGTGAAAAAAAAATAAACCCTCTAATGGATTCACGTGTTAGTCTGTTTGCATAGTAACCTCATTTAAATTTACACTACTTGTAAATAAAACAGCCACATTTGATTTCATAAACTGAACCAAAAACTTGTACATTTTCTAATTAGAAGTTGTTAAGGCTGCCTTACAATATCAGTAGCCATCATCTTAAACAAAATACACCTAACCAATGATTGTCATACTATAAATAAAAAACAAACCAGAAAACATGACATACTATGTTGCATGCTGCTTCCTTGCTGTTCATTGGTTATGTGTGGCAGTCTCACAAAAATCTTGTTCACATGTCTGACTTGTGCTCAGTCTGCATCTACTTGCATGCCTTCATCTTCTTCAGTCCCTTCACATGTTGAAAGGAATATAGAGTTGAGATAATCAACAACTTGTTGAACCACATTCTTGTCCACCTCTAGTTAATCCTCTCAAGCCTTTTTTTGCCTTTGTGGGGTGGGGTAAAGTTGTTCCCTCCTAGGTGTTTTAGTATTTCCTCCATGCAACACTGTAAAGTTATCCAACAGTGCTTGTTTGACAGTGGGTTGAACAAGGCATAAGCCTCTTTCACTTTTTCAATGAGTTCCAATAGATTCTTGGGGAAAGATTGGTTTTGTATGGATTGAATTACATTGAACAGCCCTAGATCAAGGACATTTAAGTCTGGGGACTGAGCTGGCTGGTAAATGAATTGAATGTTGAATCCACCTGAGTGACAGGCTGTTTCAAATTCCTCATCCCTTGGAATTTGGTGAGGTCTGGCATTATCCCATTGAATCCATATGTCCTTAGGGAGATGGGAAGGCCATTTTGATTTGATGCCTGGAATGACATTATGCAGTAGCATTGTCCTGATTGCTTCTTTGTTTACATTCTGTGTTGCCTTGATTTCCACAACCCCAGCCTCCCTATTTTTGCTTTTCTTTTTGGCTGTTCTTTCATACACAAATGGAAAAATACCATACTTTCCATCATGTAATACCACTCCATGGGGGTCAAAATGGGCTTCCCTATGGCACCCATGAACATCCCTTTCACTTTGAACCTCTTGGACTGTTGGCACCTATATGGGTTAGGTTCATTTGGTATGAGGTAGAACTTCTTAGTTTCTGGGTTCAAAAAGAACCATTTCTCATCAATGTGAACAACTTGTTGCATGTCCATAAATTTTGGGTTCCCATTCTCTGTGGCAGGAAGTAGATGGTTTAAAACCTATTTCAACCTTGCTAACTTGTGGTTGGCTGTGAGTACTGGGTGATTTGTGCTTGTATGTGTTCTGAGTCTACCTTGTTTCTTCAGCTTATGTATGGTGACATGTGAGATGTTGAGAGCAGCTCCATAGCTTATCTTAGTTCCCCTTTTGTACAAAGGAGCTGATTGCAGGAATTCATCTGTGTATTCTCTGGGTTTGGGACCAGTTGTTGCTTCTTCTAGAAGTTCTTGGGATGCATTTTTTGTGGCTTCTCTTGGAAGCTTTAGATGGGAAATCTTGTGGTAAACAAGTGATCAAGTGAGGCAGCTAGGAGCTGGGCATACACAGACAAAAATTAGAGAGAGAGTTAGTGTTCTTTCTTTTACAAGAGCTTCCAACTTCGGAGTTTTCTCGGCAGCCTTCATAAAACTGGTTGTTGCCGGAGTTTTCACTGTTGGATCGTGCTCAAATTTTGGTAGCTTGTTCCTGACATCAAGGCTTCATTTTGGACGGTTGGATCGTCGTTTTGAGCTCTGGTTTGGTCGCAATCGTCTTTAGACAGAACTGTTGTTTTTTGGGTGAATTCTACTCTTTTGCTCTCTAATTTTCGATCTCGTATTGTTGTTGTTGGTGGGTTGTAAATTGTTGTGAACTATATTGAGTTCATTTTACCCTCAATTTTATTATCAATAAGAGAATATTAAGGGTGGACTCCTCAAGAGGTCCCGTGATTTTTATCCTTCACATCGAAGGGGTTTTCCATGTATAATCCGTGTGTGTTGCTTGTATTTTATTCCGCTTATTATTGATGCTTTGTGAGTGAAATATTACTCTCCATATTTCATATTCTTGTTGTGTGATATTTTGGGTTGATTGGTTTGGATATTTGGTTGATTGTCTTGAGTTGGTGATTTAGTGAGTGTCATAGTGACCTCTTCCGATCCCTACGCCAAAAACGATATTAATAGTATTAGAAGTAGCCTGATTTTAGCAGCCTCGCCAACAAGACGTTGGGTTTGATTGAAAGCAACACAATATGGTGTCGTTTTGTTTCCTTAATTATTGATTATTATCTCAACACGGCTGTGCTGCCATACTCCTACGCAAGAGCATGTTGTCCCGAGATCGATTCCTATTGCCGACATTCTTTTTTCCCTTCTCCCACCTTTAAATCCCCAAAGGAAATTGTTTTTTCTTGGTGATATTGTTGTTTAGAAAGAGTGGTAAGGGTGTTTTTTTGAAGCAATTTATTAGTTCGATTGGCAAAATAAATAACGGGAATTAAAATTTCGAGTGAAAAGTAAAGCAATTACAGGGAGGTCTGACGAAGTAGACTACTAAGGATATTTTTTTAGGAAATAGAAAGTGTAGACTACTTAGGATTTTCTATTTTACTAAAGTATTTCATGCAAGTAACCACTCAAGTGTCAAATTCGTCAACAAAACCTAAGCTTATAAAGATAGAATAATCTTTCTAAAAGATATACTATCACAAGTTCACAACTATATCCTAAATATATATTAACTAGATAATCATAAACTTTCATATGAAAAAATATCTTAACATAAATAATCCTAAATATATTATTCTCATAGTATATAATATCAATATGGAAAATATATCACACATATATTTTCCGATATGATTGATCTCATATCTCTAACCTTTGTACTAAAACACTCTAGCTATAGTCAAAGCCTTTCAATTATAGGCTCTTTTAAGAAAATAATAATAATAATAATAAAAAAAATCCTAGTTTGGTTTGTCTAGTTAGCTAATTGTATAAGTTGTTTATATAGATGTGTTTGGTAAATATTTTTATAAAATAAAAAAGTACTCCTATCGTTTTGTAGTTATCGTAACACTAGTAGCACGACTTGCACAAAATTTTAGAAAACTTATAGGATAAGGAATATAGGGTGAATTTATAATATAAAATATAGTTAGTCAATGTGATGAGTAGGATAGTGGGAGAGAGAAATAATAAAGTTATAGTGGTTCATCTATACTCATAAATTAAACGACGTTTATAAAAACGTCCATGTGTCACGTAGATTCTTTTAAATTATGCCACATCACTTCACAAATACTTCATGATGCCACATCACCTATCCAACATCTCTTTATGCCACACCATCACTGAATTAATCTTAATCGTTACGCACTTACGCCACATCACTCAAGCAACCCACATTACTTCATATAAAAATATATATATGGTTAGGGGATTCGAACACCCAACTACTTATAACAAAGTTGGCTATTTTACCATCTTACCCATTATCAAGCATGTGATAAATATGAAAAAGAAATGTACATAAATTTAAACTACATGATTTAATTATTAAATAAATACACATTCAATAATATCGATTTCAGATTTCAAAATCCTTAAAAAAACCCCCAATTGCACGATTACAAAAGTAGCAACCCGGGGGAACGCCCGGACTACTCACAAGTTATCATATTAAGGGAACGGTTGTAATTGTAATAAAAGCTTTTTAAAAATAATGTTGGAGTTATTACAAAACGGTGGGAGTATTATTTGGTAAATATTAAAAAATTGGACATTTAAAGTTCTTACTGTGCATGTTTTTCATGTACTTTCGCCATATATATTTTAATTAACTTACTAATAAAAAAGTATAGCAATTAAATATTACTAAACTAGATTGAAACATGTGTATGTGTTACACGATTTGCCCATATTTTTTAAAATCTAACATCTTTTATATTTAATAAGGTGGCTAACGTGCGTGATACATACATGTGCCATAGCTAATCATATCTGGGGAGCTCTTTCAGTTGTTGGTAACATAATAAAGGAAAATATGTAAACAAATATGTTAGGAAAAAATGTCAAGAATAAAATGACCTTTTAGTAGTCTTCCAAAAAATAAAACGACGTTTTGATTATTTCATAATAAAACGACATTTGATAACCATATGCCAAAAGTAGAACGCTAGTGGTTGACAACCTATTGAACAAGTTAATGTGACACGTGTCGCAATGTAAATAGGTTGGTTTTCTTTTATTTTATTTTATTTTTATTTTTTTGTTTTTGTTTTTTTATAATTTTCTTTTTTTTAACTAATAATTTATAAAAAAAATCACCACCCCCTTGTCATGAACCCAGCCTCCACACCTTGCCACGGTCAGTGAACCCAACCCCAGCCAATCAGCCCTAGCCCCCTATCGTCGTCGCGAGCCCAACCTAGCCCCATCCCCCAGTCCCCCACCCATACCGTCGTCGACGAAAACTTAGCTTGTCCCACACCAGTGTATAAATCGGTGAACCGCACTCCAACCCCACCATTGTTTGCTTGGGATTAACAACCGGGGTTTGGGTTGGTTAGTGGGGTTATTTCGAAGTGTGTGAGGGGTTTTGAGGCGGTTTGGAAAGTGGGTTAAGGACTTAAGGTGTGGCTATAAGGACGATTTCAAGGGGTGTGGAATTGGTGAGGGGGTTTAAGGCGTGACAGTGGTCGAGGGGGTGGTTGCGGGGATGATTTCGGGGGTGTGGGGTGGATTTAGGGTGGTTACAAGGTGGGGTCTTCACTGTCGTGGATGGTTGAGTAGTGGGTGGGGGGAAGCGGAGGGGCGGTAGGGGTGGCTAAGGGAATGGAAAAATCAAATAGGGATGGGCTATGGTGGTGTTGTGGGTGGTAGGCTAACTAGGAGGGGGAAGGGATGAGACATAATTTTTTTTAATTTTTTAAAGGAAAAATTGTAAAAAATAATCTCAACTTACTGTATTTGTTTTAATAATCTCAACTTTCTTCAATCTCAATTACCGGTAACCGGTTAAATGGGTTAATTTTTTGTATTTAAGTGACACGTGTCACAAGTTTATTGGTTAAAATAACTTCAAAAACACAAAAAAAAACAGCCACAAACCCTTGACGCCAGCCGGCCACCCCAACTGCGCCAGTTTCCGCCTCCCCTCGCTAGATCGTCGTCCACCCTTTCCCCTCCTCCCGCCGGCCAATTGCCCCCGGCCACAAAACTCCTATTCATTTTCTCTCCTCTCAATTGCCCTTCCAGCCACGAAATTTGGCCACCTTTACGCCGGCGGTTGCTGCTTTTCCCCATCCCCCCCTGTGCCGCTAATTCCCCTCCCCATGCGCTGGTATCCTCCCTCCCCTTGCGTCGGTGCTACGACCTCCCCTGAAACCTCCATTTTCCTTCCCCGACTTTGAAATACCCAGAGAAGCGTTGCTGTGGGGAAGTGTGGGTCTTCGAATTTGAGGATGAAATCGGTATTGTGGTGAAGTTTAGGGGGGCCGGTGGAGGAAGGGGAGGGTGGCTGGATTTTTTATTTTTTTTTCTTACCAATTAGGACTTGACACGTGTTAAGTGACCTAATATGATAGGTCATTGACTTTTGTTGACCGGCTTGGGATTGAATAAACTAAACAACCCCTAAAGTTCGGATTATTCCAAAATAATCCAAAGTTAGGATAATTAAAAGAAAATACAGCAAAGTTGAGATTAATTTTTTTTAAAATAAATCAATTCTGTAAAAAGAAAATTGAAAAAGTAATCCTAGCCAATTGTTGTACAACACATGTTCGAGTTTAACCCTTTAAGCAGGTTATCGGTTTTTATTCTATTTTGAGCAAATGCATGTCAAAGGTCGTTTTATTATGAAAAAAAATCAAAAAGTCGTTTTATTTTTCACCCAAAGTTCATTTTATTTTTGACAAATTTTCCATTTTATTGGTAAATGAGACTAAAGGTAAAAATCGTGTCGTGCCAGGAGGTGGGTCATGTCGAGCCTGGGCATTGGCCGGGCCTCGAGTAGCCTTTAATTTTTTTCCTTGATATATTTTTTAAATAAAATAATAATGTATATTTATGTTCTTTTTATTATTAAATTATAATAGTTTATTGTTTTTTTTTTTTTTTATTATTATTATTATTATTATTATTATTATTATTATTATTATTATTATTATTATTATAGTTCTATATTATTATTTACGTTATTTTTATTATTATAATTACTTTTATTTTATATTATTATAATTTTATTAATTGTGTTGGCGAGCCGTGCCGCAGGAAATAAAGATTCGTGCCGCCAAGGCCTCGTGTCGTGCTTGGGCCAAAATTTTCGATTTGTGTTCACGGCACATCACGCTGCCCACTCTTCGGTCTTCATGCCTTGCCGGGGCGCTTGCGGGCTCGTGTCGTGCCCGTGCCGCCCTCGGGCCGGCTCGATCCATGCCCAACTCTAGATGAGACTGCTACTACTAATTGAAAAAATGGCATTTACAGCGTACTATTTACAACACACCCATGTCAATTCGGATAACCAAATGGAGTTTGGGTCGGGTCTATTCGGGTCGGGTCTGTTCGGGTCAAAATAATTCTTTTAACTCGGATCGGGTTGGGTCAAATTCGGGTCATGGTCTATCGAGTCCAGGTCGGATATGGGTCCGGTAAATTCCAGATCGGTTCATGTTCGGTTCGGATAAATTCGAATCGGGTTCAAAACGGGTTTGACCGGATTAATTCCGGGACGGATGAATTTGGTTCGGGTTGATTTTGGTTCATATGATTTCGGTTCGGTCAAGTTCGGTTTGATTAAGATAAAGTTGATTTAGTATTTGGTCAATTCCAATTCAAATTATTTCCGTGTTTATCTAGATTTTGGCCGAGTTGACCAAATTCAATATCCAAATAAGGTCCTTTTTAAACTAGAGTAATTATTGAATTTTTCCCTGATTATTGGGTCGATATCAAGTCATTCATGTGTCATTTCTCATATTGCGTGGTAAACTATTACGAAATGCGAAAAATTAGTTCTCTCACTCAATCAATTCTTATGTAATATTTATCTTGGAGCCAAATTTAAATTGAATAATTATCAATGACTTATCATACCTACGTACGTAAGTGAGACAAATAGTAATGAACTAGTGATAGACCGATAGATTGATAGATGATAGTCACATATGGTAATATACAAAAAATAATGTCCTCTTTTTAAGGTACTACTGTTCAATTGTTTAATCTCATGAGGCAATGACCTATGAGTACTATTAGTTTGTTTTATTACTAATTCAATTTGTATAAGATATTTGTTAGAGTTTTAGACTTTCTAACTTACCAATAATTAGTAAATTTGTAAATATATAGTAGTATAAGAACTTGAAAAAAAAAGTCAATAGTTATAGGTTAGGTTTAAAATTATGGCTGGGTTAAAATTGGATCAGGTTAAAATCGGGTCGGGTTAATATCAGTTCGGGATAAAACAGATCAGATTAAATCGATTATTTTCGGGTCATTTTCGGATTGGGTCGAGTCAAATCGAGTCAAATCGATTCGGTTTGAGTTCAAGTCGGGTCATATCGGGTTTGAGTTGAGTTCAAGTCTGGATAAATTGTTACCGAGTTAAGTTCAGATCGGGTTAAATTCAGATTCGGATTAAGTTCGGGTCAGGTACAGATCAAATTGAATTGGTTACATTTCAAATGGATAATTTTTTTTTCGAATGGGTTCGGCTTTGACACCTCTAGCTACAAACAACGCGGGTAAAAAGTTTAGTGAATTAATTGCAGCATTCTCAGTTTCTCACTCTCCCCTATTCGCTCTCCTTCTTTTCTCTCCCATTCTCGGTTTCTCACTCTCCCTCTTCGCTCTCCCATTCTCAGTTTCTCACTCCCCCGCTTCGCCTCACTCTTTCTCAATTCAAGGTTCTCCTTGTCGCCGGAATAGAGGTACCGCCAGGTCGCCGCTGGTAAAGAGCTCCGCGTCGCTCTTCCTTCATCTTCTCTTGTTGCCGTGTGTAATTCAACCTTTACTTAAGGTACTTTTTTCTTCAATTTCTTCTGACATTTTTTTGTCGTTTGAAGTTCCTCAGTTTGCATTATATTCAAGATTTGTTTGGATTTTCTTTTCTTTTTTCTGGGTTCTTGTGTTTTTTTTTTCTGGAATCTTCCCATCATGAAGTATGTATATTTTACCCAAGTTATTTCTTGTAATTTAATCCATATGCATTGTTGAATTTTAAGGTGATTTGGATGATTTTGTTATATGGGTTTGTTTTTGTTAGGATTTTTGGTGATGGGTTTGTGATTTTTTATCAAGATTTGATTGATATTGAAATATTTGTTGTGATTGTTCTAAATCTTTATTTGATTACAAGTATATGATAAGCTGTAAATGTCTGATTAAAACAGCTTAATTTGTTTGAAAATGCTGGTGTATGAATGTTAATTCCACTGTTCTTTGTATGATTCTGGGGATTTGTATCTAATTTTTTCTACCATTTGGAATTGCTGAGAACACACCAAACAATTTGTAATGCTGAGAACACACTCAACGAATATTTATCTTGTTCTGTTGCGAATTTCTTCTGTGCAAGTTTCGATGAAATTTAATTCCAAAATAAATATCTGTTGTGAAACTTTTAGCAAACTGGAATAACAGTATGTGTGTAGCCTTGTCCTGCCTAGAGTTTCGTAGTATAATATTGCTCCAGTTGATCTTGGTAGGCAGGGCTGTAGGGTAGAAAGATTAGATACTTCTTTTTGCCTTTGAGTGATGATAATGATAAAGCTCTAAGGAGTAGGCTGATGACTTTATCTTTTACATTGGGTGCTCTGCATTGCATCGATTGTTTTTTGACTTTAATGTTGGCTCTCTATTTATTTGATTACTAAACATGTGTAATTCGTAAGCATAGCTCCTTAGCTTCTTACTAATCACCTGATAACCTTGGATATAATGCTTAAAAATATAGCATCAGACTAACACAAACTTAATTTAGACTTGATGTTGATTATATGTAAATATTGGAAATGTCGGGAATAGATGATGGTTGTTAATAAAGGGGGGAATAGCTTCCCTAGTCTGGAGCGGGGGAGTGATAAGTTGGTCGGTGATGGTGGGAGTATGGTGGGTGAGTTTAGAGATGATTGGTTCAGAGGCGCTAGGGCTGCAATTTTTGAGTAGTGGTTCGAAAGTTGGGTGTTGACAAAGCTTCGAAGGAGAGTTCTCCTCATGCTCTTGCGATTTTCCTCCGAGCGACTTGGGGAAAGTGGAGATTGATTTGTCATTGTTAGCTGACAAAACAGGAAGGCTAGAACTAATAGGTTTTGAGGTTGAAGGAGAAGGCAGTAAGAAAGAGGGATTTAAATTGAATTATTAGTTGAATGCTTCTGCTTAAGAGAGGGGCTAAGCCTAGGAGCCTGGCTAAATTCATAAGTATTCCTTCCCGAAGCCATGCTCCTCTCTGTGCTATTAATTCTCTAAATTTTTTTTCCATAAGATTTGTATTCTTTCTAGTAATTTATTTCCCGAGGTGCCTAATTCTTTTTCTTCCAAAGCTAAGACATTCCATTTATTATTATTCTAATTCTGATAATTACGGCTTCCTTCCTCCCCTTGCCTTTTCCCTTTTCTGTTGGTGCTTTTTGGAATACTCTAATTCTTCCCATTTTTGTTTCTTTCATCCCTTTTGAAGTTGTTAAATCTTTTTCTCCAGCCGCCAAACTCCAGGGCCCATATTCTTCCAACTCCTCTTTATTGCTTTTTACTGTCTCTTCCTCTCCTTTTACAGGGCTAGAAACAGAGGGCTATATCCCCCCCCCCCCCCCCCTACAATAGCCTCCCTGAATGATACCCTCCCTTTAGCCTTACTGAGACCTTCTTCATTGTTGGCGCTGTTTTCAGCTTAATCTATGCGCTCTTATCTCCATGTCTTCTAGCTGAACCTCTGCATTTCTGGGCTTATTACTAGATGGAGCTTCCACACCAAGTTGTATGCCCTGCTGGATGCTCTGACTGTCATCATATTGACTGACCTTTCTAACAAATCCAACTCTTGCGTGGATACAATGTCCATGTCTGATGATGCTTCCATTTGAACTTAATACTAATCACTTAATGAACTAGATGAGCAATGAAAACAAGAAAGACTAAATGAATGAGCTTCTTACTAATGAAGAAGAGGCTCATAAAGAGACCACCTCGCTCTGACTAAGAGTAAGCTCCTAGAGCCCCTATCACCAAGGTGATGGGGTTATTCTCCGATGGCTAGACTTCTAGAGAGAGAGAGAAATATTATGATTCTTAGTCGATTAGCATGTTTGTAAAGCCTATATAAGGGCTAATAGGTTTGTTTTATTTGCATCAGCAAATAAATAATTTGAGCATTATGACTTGATAATCATTAAAATATTTGTTTAATAGCTTGAATTTCCTAGTACTGAGCTGTAATTTGCAATCAAATTCCATGACTTTTATGATGATTAGGTAGAGTAATAAACCTTAAATTAATTGCTATTTGCTTTGAAATTGTAGGTAAACTTAAGACATGGCTGATCCAGGTGGTGGTTGGTGGTCTTGGGTCAGAGGTATTTTGGACAAAATTGTATCATGGATACTCACTGGAAATGTAAGTGATAATTCTGTCAAAATCGCTCGGTTTGTGTTTCTTGGGTTGCTCTATTGGAGCTTTATGATGGCTTTGTTGGTGTACATGATGGGTTTTAGTGGGAAAACTGTGATTTTATCTCCATTCACATTTCAATTTAATAACTTGGGCTATAATTCTGAGACAAGTTCAAGTGGGAGATATGTAAGGTATAGTGACATCAGTGGAGAAGTTACTAAGGTTTACAAGGGCTTTGATGGAGTTGTTGGTATGGGAATTTCATGGAGTAAGACTGATTTGACAGAAAATTTACAGAACAAGGTTTTTCTTGAGGAGAAGTGTGCAGAAGCTAATATGATGAAGACTTATGATGCTGATAATATAGTAAAATGCTACCAGTCTTTAATTGATTATGAGGGAAGAGTAATCCATATGATTACTGAATTTTTTCCTTTAGGGAATTTGGTACAGTATCTTAGCCAATATAACTCTGAAGGCTATACTGCAATCAAGAATTGGTGTAGTCTGCTTATGGAGGGGATTAAATTTGTTCACAGCAACCTATTGCTTTATCATTGTGACATTAATGGTGATAACATGGTAATCACTGGGAAAACAGCAAGGGTCGTTATTGGAAAATTTGGCTTCTCATTATATGTGGAACAAGGGAGCTGTCTAAAACATTATGGCTCATACACTTTTGGAATGTGCATACTAGAGAGGGTAACCAGGGAGCCACTGTACAGTGAATGCACTACCAAACTTGAATTTTTGGCACACTTCAAGTCTCGTGCAAAGCATCTTGTGTTAAATAATGTGACATCGACAAAAATTCTCCAAGTCTTGAGCGAATGCTTGACTACAACATCGGAAAGATCTAGTATTTGAGCCTGGAATATAGCTGCATAGTACTGAAATATAGCTGCATAGTACTGTGGGAAACAGTGTAATTGATCAAATGTTTGAGTACAACATCGGAAATGATTGTATGTACATACATAGCTTGAATGTTTTAGATCCAGTGACAACTATCTTCTTGTGGAACTGTCGATATTTTTTTGTGTTCCTAATACTGTGGGAAACAGAGTACTTGATAAGTACGAAATGTATCATATATCCTGCGAATTTTTTTTTTCTTTTTTTTTTCCCTCATATTTGGGGTACATTTAGGGTCGTTCGGGATTAGCCTGGTCAATTAAGAGGAAGATTAGGAATAGACGCCTGAAATTGGACCAGGTAATCCATTTCTGGAGAGTGGTCAAGTATTTCTGTTATAAACAGTGACTTCTTTCTCCATCAGAATCCTTTCTGTGAAATCTGAAGGGATGTAAGTTTAATAAGCTTAAAAGTAAGGATTGTTAATATGGAGTATATATTGCCAATGACTGGTGATATCAATGGTATATAGATATCCTTGGGAAGAAATGTGTTGAACTGAGCTCATTCTAAGTTTGGGTTTAGCTTGAAGTTCACTGAACCTCAATAGCTTTAACCTAGATTCAGACTGGTCATTTATAACTCAGCTGGAAGTGTTAAGTAATTTATTGAGTCGGTCTTTTCTGACATCTATTGTGGAAAAACTGAATGAGTATACAAAATGTGATTCAATCATTGTGGAAAAACAGAATGAGTATGCTTCTTGCAAGTGGAGATATTCTATCTTGGTGTTTCAGCTTCAGTCACTTCTTTTGCCATACTGCGGATTTAAAGCCATAATAGCAACATTATTAATCTGAATGTAGCGACATTGCTAGATTAGGTCATTAGGACGATCTTGGTGTAGGGTTTTTATTTTTTTTTATTATTATTTTTTTTCATATTTGGGGTACATCAAGGGCCGTTCAGGGTTTTCCTGATCAATTAAGAGGCGGATTAGGAATAGATGCCTGAAATTGGATCAGATAATCCATTCCTGCAGAGTGGTCAAGTTTATAATCCTATATGTGAATTCTAAAGGGATGTAAGTTTATAAGCATAAAGCAGGGATTGTTAGCAAACTATGGAGTATATATTGCCAATGACTGGTGACATCAATGGTATAGATATCCTTGGGAAGAAATGTGCTAAACTGAGCTCATTCTCAGTTTGGGCTTAGCTTGAAGTTCACTGAACCTCAATAGCTTTAACTGAGACTCGGACTAGTAACTTGTTACTCAGCTGAAATCGTTAAGTGATCTATTGAGTTGGGTCTTTTCTGACTTCTCTGGCCGATCATCTACACATTGGGTTGTGACAGTTTGGTTCAGGCTTGGGGCTAGGGTTGGCTCAGGCTTTGGTCAATCTGAGCATTTTTTTTAGTCAGTCATATACATACAGTTCATGGAGCATTTTTTGGCAACCTATCCTTATCCTTTACCGGGAGTACTCTAACTGCAACAATATATACTTCACATGCAAAGTTCAATACTCAGTTGTGCTATTAACTGTACTTTAAAATTTCTGAATCTCTTGTTTCAAAAAAAAATAAAAAATAAAAAAAAATTAAAAAATTAAAAAAAAAAATAATTCCTAATGTCTGTCATCCCAACTATCCTATTTTTTTTTTTTTTACGAGACCAACTATCCTACTTTATTCTTCCATCAATCCCACTATGTTTATATTTTATTACTTTCTACGAAATTCTATTTATCAAACTTTGCACATATAAAATTGAACAAAGTAATAATTTATAGAGGGTGTTATATGTTCCGTATAACTTTACGCAATATTTTTTGGTTACACCCGTGTATCACATTGACACTAATCTAGTCTTCTTATGAATTAGGTCATCTTCCTCCCTTTGTTCTTACATTCTCTTTTGCACCCAAATTTTTGAATTCAAAAAATCATGCATAAAAAATCATCGATTTCGATCTACAACCTACTTCGCAAAAACCCTTTTACCCAATCTACAAAACCCAATTTTTTTTCTCTTTTCAAATCACTTGCACCAATTTCTATTCACAAATGTTCACTCTCAAAACCCACAATTTCTTCCAAACCCACTTCAACTTTCCCCCATTTCAACCACCCATCATCCTTAATTTCTCAATTGAGGAGTTACAGTGGAGATTCAGCTGATAATTTTGACAAAAATAAGATAGTGGATGAAATTAATTTGAAATTTGCTGAAGCAAGGGAGGAAATTGAGGCAGCTATGGAGTCTAAAGAGACTGTTTATTTTAATGAGGAAGCTGAGTGTGCTAGAGCTGCTGTTAAGGAAGTGTTGGACATGTTTCACGGCTTGTTGGGGAGGTTGAAGGATCAGGAGAGAGAAGCTTTGCAAAGGTCTATGGGACTCAAGATTGAGCAGCTTAAGGCTGAGCTTCAGCAGTTGGATGATTGATTTCGATTTGATTTTCGAGGTTCGAGTTTTTTTTTTTCATTTCTCAATGACAGTCTTAATTTTGTTGAGATAAACATTTTAGTGTTAGTTATATTGAGTATAATACTGCAAGGACTTATTTCAGTAGCTGAGGAAATTGTAGTATGATCCTCATCTCTTATGTTGCAGTTTTAATAAGGAATGTTGTGGAACATAAACAGTTTTGTGCTGTATATCATTGATACAGAATTGATGATGTTTAGTTTAACAGAGTCTACTGAATTTTTTTTATTGTGTACTTGTTTAGTTGATGTTGGTATATCATTGGTTTCGATGGCTGGTTCGAATAGATTTAAGTCTTGAGCGCTCGTGTTTTTTTATAGTCTTAACACGCTCTTGGGATTGATAATTTTGACATTTGAGGGAAGACATCATGATTTTTTGTTGAATGTGTTCTGATTCGAGCTTATGCTTTCGGATAATATGTCATTTCTATATGACGTCTTAAGTTTCCATAAATTTTTATCCTTGGGTTTACTATTAGTGGTTCACTCTGATTGTCACCATAGTCATGAATTAAAGTAACAAATCCTAGTATATTTATGTGCTGGAATTTGATGGGATCCTCAAGAGCTCCCTCAGTTTAAGTTCATCTGAATTTCAAAGTTACACTTTATTTAGACTGTAGTTACCAGTCAAAATGATACATTCAGTGGTAATTTTATGACAGTGCTTATGATCCAAATTGTAGTTAGTCATCTGATATGTAGTGGCTAGTGCCATTGTATTTTTGAAAATAAATTATATCTTTCCCAGCCATTAATACTTCATATCTCTGAGTTATCTTTGCAATCCAACATCATCTTGAAGGACTACCAACCTCTAATATATTGACATCACTCTTTTCTAGTTGTTGTTACCTACTGATGGGCTGAAGTGATCATGTTAATTCTTTAGTTGTTCAAGATTGGACAATTGTGATATTAGGAAGTGAACAACTTTACTTCGGTATGAATAAAACCGGTAGATCCTATGTTCATGAGGTACATATTCCTCTTCCGTCAATATAACTTTCTGATATGATCTAGGTAATATTATATGACTGATTGATCACTTGCTCGTTGATATGAGAATAAAAAACCAACCATCTTGTGCAACTCTTGGCAGAAGAAATAATTGTATATGCATAGCTTGAATTGTTTATATCCAGTGACAACATTATCTTCTAGTGGAACTGCTGTTGATATTTCTTGTGTTCCTGATACTGTGGGAAACAGGGTACTTGATAAGTAGGTAATGTATCATATATTCTGCTATAATTATTTGCCTAATCTTCCATATCTCTGCATAGCCTGCAATGTTTTTGAGCTCTCTACCTGTAGGGTTCCTTCTTGGATTTTCAGTTTTGTAATGGAGTTTGATGAAAATAAGGGTTGTGCTTTATTGATGGAGGAAAAGAGAGGGAGTGAAGATAAAAGACAGCTACCAGTTAAAAAGCTGTTAATTTGGATTAGAAGATTAGAAACACCCTTCCTCTTGTTCTTCCTTTCTATCTGTGCTCCATAACCACCACCTCCTCGATTTAAACTGTCAACTGACCACTCTTATAAGTGCCCTTAGCTTACCATTTTCTCACCTAGTGTTGCCTTTTCTTCTAAGTAAGTGATGCTCTTAAAGTCCGTCAGTTGTAAACTGGCAATGGCTTGAATATGTATACAAAATGTGATTCAGTCATTGTGGAAAAACAGAATGAGTATGCTTCTTGCAAGTGGAGATATTCTATCTTGGTGTCCAGCTTCAGTCACTTCTTTTGCCACACTGTGGATTTAAAGCCATAATAGCAAAGTTATTTACCTGAATGTAGAGACATTGCTAGATTAGTTCATTAGGACAATCTTGGTGTAGGTTTATTTTTTATTTTTATTTTATTTATTTTTTTTTTTTTTTTCATATTTGGGGTACACCAAGGGCCATTCAGGGTTTTCCTGATCAATTAAGAGGCGGATTAGGAATAGACGCCTGAAATCGGATCAGATAATCCATTCCTGGAGAGTGGTCAAGTATTTCTGTCTTCAACAGTGACTCCCTTCTCCCTTAGAATCCTATATGTGTATTCTGAATGGATGTAAGTTTATAAGCATAAAGTAGGGATTGTTAGCAAACTATGGAGTATATATTGCCAATGACTGGTGACATCAATGTTATATAGATATCCTTGGGAAGAAATGTGCTGAACTGAGCTCATTCTCAGTTTGGGCTTAGCTTGAAGTTCACTGAACCTCAATAGCTTTAACTGAGACTCGGACTAGTCACTTGTTACTCAGCTGGAATCGTTAAGTGATCTATTGAGTCGGTCTTTTCTGACTTCTCTGGCTGATCATCTACACATTGGGTTGTGACAGTTTGGTTCAGCTTGGGGCTAGGGTTGGCTCAGGCTTTGGTTTGGTCAATCTGAGCATTTTTCTTAGTCAGTCACATACATACAGTTCCTGGAGCATTTTTTGGCAACCTATCCTCATCCTTCACCACCTATCAAATTAGCCTTTTGGATCTCACTGGCACCATTTCCAAATTTATTAAATATTTCCTTTGTTTCCATTAAATTGCAAAATATGAGTTGTATTTATCATTTATGAGTGCTAAATTTAATTTGACCCACGTATTTCTTACTAAAATGTACTTAAAATTGTTTTAATTTTTTTTTTTTAAAAAAGGTCTTTCTGAAAAGATGTTGATTTGGTCTCTATTTTTACTTTCAATGTATCAATGTTTAAAATGTTTACTAAGTAGTTCAACATAACAATGGTCACGAAAATTGTGCATTATTGACAAATGTGTTGGTGAAGTAGTAATTTTAAGAAATTGGAGGAAAGTATAAATCAACACAAATTTGAGTAACATCATCCCATGAAGGATGCTCAAAATCTTGATCCTTGATTACCAAAATTTAACATGTAAAACAAGTTTTACCGTCTTTTTTTAACTTAAAAATCACAACTGCCATTATTCAGTAGGTCAGAATGAGATGCAACAACCGTTTGAAGTTTACCTCTCCCCTTTCACCAAAGTCCTTTCCATGTCATAAAAGTCCATCTTTACTTGGTATATAAACACATCTACATAGCTTTGATATCCTAACCAGAAGAAAAATGGCTAATCTAAGGTGTGTTTGCATGCTATATGGCATGTTTCTTGCCATAGCACTAGCAGAAGCACAAGCGCCAGCAATGTCACCAACAAATGCATCACCAGCACCACCCATACCTCCGTCAAACCCGACAACTACAACACCTCCAATACCCTTGTCTACTCCACCAGTGTCAAATCCAACTTCCCCACCACCTCCCACAGCTCCTTTAGTTAGTCCACCACCCCCACCTGCATCAGTATCGCAGTCACCACCACCTGCACCGGTATCGCAGTCACCACCACCACCTGCACCAGTATCGCAGTCACCACCACCTGCACCAGTAAACCAGTCACCACCACCTGCACCGGTATCCCATTCACCGCCACCATCTTCCCCAATAACCCAGTCACCCCCACCTGCACCAGTATCACAGTCACCGCCACCACCTGCTCCGGTACCCCAGTCACCACCACCACCTGCACCAGTACCCCAGTCACCACCACCACCTGCACCAGTACCCCAGTCACCACCACCACCTGCACCAGTACCCCAGTCACCACCACCACCTGCACCAGTACCCCAGTCACCACCACCACCTGCACCAGTAACCCAGCCTCCACCGCCACCTGCACCAGTAGCCCAGTCACCACCACCACCTGCACCAGTACCCCAGTCACCACCACCACCTGCACCAGTACCTCAGTCACCACCACCACCTGCACCAGTAACCCAGCCTCCACCGCCACCTCCACCCGTAACCCAGCCGCCACCACCAGTACAACAGGCAATTCAACCACCAGCCCAATCGCCAGCTCAAGGATGAAAAATTGGAAGGACTTATTAGCTGCTCTGCTTCCTGTATTGCAATCTCCGCTTCGGATTATATATAAACAACGGATTCCTTTCCTTTCATCTATTTTTACTGGCCTTTTTTTATGAGATGAGAGTTCTGAGGAGTTTTCAGTTATCATTAAAGAGAGGCAATTTAGATGATTCTCATGAATTGTTCTAGTTCAAAAGCCATCCTCTTCTAGCCAGTTTTATAACCATTTTTGCTACATTCTGGTCTATATCTGCAGTTTTCAATGTTTCTTTCGCGCTGTATTTTCTCACTCTTCTGTTATTTTGGAATTATGACCTTATGGTCTTATAAGGTTTGATCCTTCTTGTGTAATACATGCTCCTTTGTCGTTTTAAAATAAAATATACAAGTAATTGAGTACTTAAATACACCAAAAATTATTTCAATTACATGCAAATTCTTATCATGAAATAATTATTTCAATACATACAAAACATTCATCCTAATCTTCTTAGTATCATTCCGAAAGTCATACTCAACCAAAAGAGCGAGGTTGTCAACTAGATTTGTGATGCTGGAGACACCCTGCACACTGATGAAAGCAGGTCTAATAATTGACGAATCAGCGAAAAAATACAGGAGTATTTGACATTTACAGTTTATGCTCTGATTTCACGAAGCTTTCTGAATCGTGAAATCATGGTAGAAGCTGAGTACATACTAGATGACAATGTAGAAGCTGAATACAGACTTAAACCTTTCACATTTACTATTACAGACATTACTAAAAAAAACTATGTCTCACTAAACACAAGTTCAAATAATGAAGAACAAGACACCTACGTATTGTTGTTGCTTTTCCATATGTAAATGAAAATTGGTATACTTTTAAACAAATTATGTTCACACAGTAATCCTCAACAAAATACACAGCTATCTTGGAAATATAAATTTGTTCAAGATGCCTGGACGAATGCAGTTCCTCGTTCATAGACTCGACTATTTCAGTCATTTTGTTCCTTCACCATAAACATCACCTAGGGCGCTGCATGCATACTTGGTTTACATCAAAGAGATGACCTTGATCATAAGAAGCATAAGTAGATCTAGTAATGGTTACAGTCTACCAAAAGATGAAGCACCGGTATCATTTTCATTTCAATAAGAAATGAGATCACGACAGTAAACCTTTATGACTAATGTCGAAATCAAATTAAGTTCTCCGTCTTCCTCCTAGATCGGTTCCAACTTACAGCCCAAAGTGGATAGCTACATTTAAGAAACAACCAATTTATAGATATGTCTAATGACTGGTTTGAACATTCTCCTTGGTTAGATATTAAAGCTTCCTTGTAAGAGTTTGTACACTTTTATCACATCATGCAACAATAAACCCAGCTTGTCACTGGAATAGCTATCAAGAAACTGTCAAAACTTCTTCAGAGAAGTGCTTATATACCACACACGAGATGAACTCGTTGACATACATTCGGAAGTCAAATCACAGAACCATATTTCGTTCACAAAACCTTATTTCATATTATCTAGTAGAGACTTGACGTTTATTATGTAAAGAGATTTTGAACGGCTTGAAGAGAGAGAATTGTCCTTTTAAGTGATTTTTGGCTTGGACTTGTGCAGTATATATAAAAGCTTTTGTTCCGGCCTAAGTCAGCTTGAGTTTTGAAATTCCTAGAGAGAAAATGAGAGAACACAGTTAGGTTTTTGTAAATAACGAAGACTTAGGGAAAATAGTTCCGAGTTCTATTAAGTTTGATTGACAGTAAGATCACTTAAGACTCGAATAAAAAATTGGCAGGACCCTATGATGATGATCAGCCCAGATAGGCAAGAATCTGCTATTAGTTCGAAGAACAAATTCCTCAAATATCCAAAAAAAGTTCTCCATCCTCCGATAAGGTAGGCATCAAAAAGCTCAAAACAAAAAGAAAGAAAGAAAGGACATCAATTAGGTATACGAGATGCCTGAAGAAGTTTTACAAAAATACATCAGTGTCATAACACTAGCAACATCCCTCTTAATACTCTGCTACTCGTGTCATAAAGCAGCATAAATACGAACATTGAAAACAAAATTGAAAGAGTAAACTCTGAGAATGGCCATTTGCCACAAAGAAGTTTCAAAGGAACAAAAACCATGCACGGTCTGGACTGTCTGATTGCAACAGAAGTGGTCAGAGAGCTTAAGAACCCCGAGCACGAATTGATGACCAAATGGGCCTTGAACAACCCACACTCTTAGCCACACGGATCATCACCAAGTGGGCCTTGAACTGCCCCCACCTGAACCACGGCGATCAGTACTTCGCCACCTATCAGCAGTTGGAGCTGGGGCTGGCACAGCAGCGTTCTCCCGCAAGTGTCTAGGAACATATCTTGTAGGTGCTGGAGCAGCAGCGGCAGCAGCTGGAGCAGCAGAAGATGCTGCTGCTGAAGCAGGTACAGCCTCTGCCTGAGGCCTGGCAAGAGGAGAAGCCTCAGAAGACCGAGCAGCCTCACCAGCAAGAATCTTCTGTCTTCTCAACCTCTCCTTTTCTTCAAGTTCCCGCTCTCGTTGCCGTTGCTTCTCTGCAATTTCATCCAGCTTAGCTTGGTGCTCAGCATCTTCCTTTCTTCTTCTCTCAGCCTCTGCAGGTTTGAATGCCAAAAATGGTAAATATATAAGCAACAAGTGGTCAGTATATACATATATTGACAAGGTACTAGGTTAGCAAGAAATTAAAGGGTTGTAAGCTGACAGAAAATTGTTATGCCATTAAAGCTGTTCAGACCTTCACGCTTCCGTGCATCCTCCTCTTCGCGCAGCCTGTTCAATTTTTCCTCTTCTGATCTCAAATAGAAAAGCATCTTCCGCTGAGCTACCCTTTCCTGTTTACGTGCCTCGCGAATTTGATGGAAATGCTCCTCCCGTTCTTGTCTCAATCTTTCGAATTCAGACTGGCGGTGACTCACCACTCTTTCTTGGAAAATTTTCTGAGGATAAGAGGGATGGTGAGAACAATCATAAACCTCATATAACATAAATGACAATACAAGACAAGCAACATCTCATCTACTTCAATAATTCTTCCTCCTTTTTATTTAGTAGCCACAGTTTTAACTTTTGCATTATTCACAGTCCACTTTAACTCTATAACTCTATTTAAAGATTACAACTTAAGGAAAAATATAATCATGTGGGGTCTTGAAAGATTCAATTTACGCTCTCCTAATATCAAATTTTCATGATTTTCACACACTGATAATTAGAGATAGAAGTTATTGAAATTATGCATTAGAAAACATGAAATGTGAAACCTTGCAAAAAAAAAAAAACCAGAAAAAAAAAAGAGGAACTGAGGAAGTATCTAAGGGCAAAACCAAGTTTGCCTGATAAGTGATAACAAGCAGAGAACAAATAAATCAATTGTATTTATTATGATGAGCTACTAACCTTGTTTTCCATTACACGAGCAAGTCTATTCTTCTCCTGAAGGTCACCATCATGACGCTGCCTGCTGAGCTCAACCTCAAGCTGTAACATTAAATTCAAGACTGATTAGATTATCTGAAACTGGCCAAAATAGCACATGCCCTTTAAGCGGTAAAGAAGAATTAAATATAGTAAGACAACTAAGTAATTTCCTGGGCATCTTAGCATATAGATATCAAAAGTCTCCAAGCCTGGTGTGGCACACTAACTAAAATTGAAGATATGGACTGAAAGAACACAGTTGAATATCTGTCCCATACTAAACAACATATATTCCCATGATCACAGTTTTTAACCAAAGGAGGATAAAAACTAAGTACCAGAAGACCTGTGTTTTTAAGGAATAAAGAGAGCAGCATAAGCATTTCATAACTATGACTATGACAAACATGTGATATATCTATACGGTGATATACATGTCTGCTGAGCACATAAATAGACATGGCAAAACGGACTCATACCTGACCCAAGACCCGAACTCTACCCGAAATTACTGTTTCTCCCTGACCTATACCCAATCCAAGCTGATAATGAATGTTTCTAAAAAAAAATTATTATATTAAAATAAGCATATTGGCAATAGAACCGAAAATGAGCTGACCCGAACCTGAGATCTACCGGAAAGTCATACCGAAGAAAATCACCCAACCTGAATTAGACCCAAATGCCACATAAACTCATCGTTCAGTGTAAATCTTAGCTTCAACTTATCCCCCCCTACTCACTACCACCATACTACAAATAGGTACAAGGCCTACATGCTCCCCAAAATGTTTGTTGCCTACGCACCAACTATTAATCTGCTTGCAATCTCTTGAATTCTTGGAAAAAAAGGTTTAAAAGTAATCACAAGAGAATTAAAAATAAAATAAAATAAAAAAGAGAATAATTATATTGAAGATCAAAATTGACAGAGATGGTGGCACCCAAAAGATAATTTTAACCCCCAACACAGGTGAAAGTTACACTGTGAAGTTTAGAAACAAAAATAAGAAACCATGTATTAAAGCAGGTCGCATACAGCGATTCCAGGCACAGAATGTGCAAGGACTTGCAATACAATATCTAAATTGATGTTAACACAGGATAGGCCCCTATGTCCAGACTTAAGTGTCCAAAATGAAAAGCCAGAGTTTGTTCAAATTCAAAAGATATTTGATGCTAACATGTACATACATATTCCAAAACTTTATTTAAAAGTAGTTTAAGGAAACACTGCTTTCATAATTTTGAATTATTAAGTAAAAATGAGACACCCAAATCCAGACACAATATTCATTAATTGATGTCTTTTTTTTTAGTAGTTCATTAATTGATTTCTCATGCTATGCTTCATGTCATGGTAATTTTCAAAAGGAAAATATGTTAGCTAATAGGCAGTTAATTCTAATTAGGGGGTGAGCTATAGGTCTGTGCAAAATTATCCGAGAATTCGAAAATCCAATCCGATTTTTTGGATATCCGATCTGAAATTTCGGATCAGATTGGATATCTGATCCATAAAAACGGATATCGGATGCGGATTCGGATATTGATTTTCAAATTTTCGGATATACAATATCCGAAAAAAAAAAATAGGACATCGAATATCAAAACCGATATCCAAAATATTAAGCCTTGAATATATAAAATTTTCAATAGAATTGTCATTTGATGATGATTGAACTTAAGGACTTTATTATGTATTATCTACTGCCTACTAGACTTCATGTAACAATTGGATGGTCATTTGATGATTTTTTTTTTTTTTTTAATTGCAAAAAGACTTATTTTGTTAAAATATCATGTGCAACTTAGCAATAAAAAGTGATAAAATTAGAAAATAATCATTAAGTATTTAAGTTATTAACTAATTGTAATTAATAATTTATATCTGCAATATCCAATCCGAAAAATTTCAGATATCGGATATCAGAAATTTTCAGATTGGATTTGGATCAGTTTCTGATATCCGAACTGAAATCACATTTCAATTCATATATCCGATCCATGCACAGGCCTAGTGAGCTATGTATCTACATAATACAGTGCCAAGTATGTAGAAAGAATTCAAGTTAAAATCTACCTGTTGCTCACGCTCATGAAGAAGCTGTTCCTCAACCAAGCGTTGTTGATATGCAGATTCAATTAGTGGAGCTGCCTCCTCCCTCTTAGCTCTCTCAAAATAATCCATCTGCTTGCTCAACTTCTGCAATTTTTTCTCCATTTCTTGTTTCTCCTTCAGCTGCTCATTGAGAGCCAACTCCATCAATTGTTGTTTTGTCAAATTATCCTGAAATAGAGTACATAAAACACAAATTAAACACCAATTTGCACAGAATATCAAGAAGTATTATCAGGGGGAAAAAAACTCACCCCTTCAATAAGTGGTTTCTTCTTATTTTTGGAGAATTTTTCCTGAATCAGAGCTTTTGTTTCTTCTTTCTCACGTTCTTCAATTTCCTTTTGGATGCGCTGAATTTTCCTCTTCTCCAATTCAATAGCAAGCCTTTTCTGTTCAGCTTCCTCATTATTTTTCT